GACATTTCATACGAGTGTTCCAGACATTTCATACGAGTGTTCCAGACATTTTTCGTACGAGTGTTCCAGACATTTCATACGAGTGTTCCAGACATTTTTCGTACGAGTGTTCCAGACATTTTTCTTACGAGTGTTCCAGACATTTTTCGTACGAGTGTACCAGACATTTCATACGAGTGTTCCAGACATTTTTCGTACGAGTGTTCCAGACATTTTTCGTACGAGTGTACCAGACATTTCATACGAGTGTTCCAGACATTTTTCGTACGAGTGTTCCAGACATTTTTCTTACGAGTGTTCCAGACATTTTTCGTACGAGTGTACCAGACATTTCATACGAGTGTTCCAGACATTTTTCGTACGAGTGTTCCAGACATTTTTCGTACGAGTGTACCAGACATTTCATACAAGTGTTCCAGACATTTTTCGTACGAGTGTTCCAGACATTTTTTTTACGAGTGTTCCAGACATTTTTCTTACAAGTGTTCCAGACATTTGTCGTACGAGTGTACCAGACATTTTTCGTACGAGTGTTCCAGACATTTTTCGTACGAGTGTACCAGACATTTCATACGAGTGTTCCAGACATTTCATACGAGTGTTCCAGACATTTTCCTTACGAGTGTTCCAGACATTTTTCGTACGAGTGTTCCAGACATTTTTCGTACGAGTGTTCCAGACATTTCATACGAGTGTTCCAGACATTTCATACGAGTGTTCCAGACATTTCATACGAGTGTTCCAGACATTTCATACGAGTGTTCCAGACATTTCATACGAGTGTTCCAGACATTTCATACGAGTGTTCCAGACATTTTTCTTACGAGTGTTCCAGACATTTTTCGTACGAGTGTTCCAGACATTTCATACGAGTGTTCCAGACATTTTTCGTACGAGTGTTCCAGACATTTCATACGAGTGTTCCAGACATTTTTCATTCGAGTGTTCCAGACATTTCATACGAGTGTTCCAGACATTTTTCATTCGAGTGTTCCAGACATTTCATACGAGTGTTCCAGACATTTTTCATTCGAGTGTTCCAGACATTTTTCATTCGAGTGTTCCAGACATTTTTCGTACAAGTGTTCCAGACATTTCATACGAGTGTTCCAGACATTTCATACGAGTGTTCCACACATTTCATTCGAGTGTTCCAGACATTTCATACGAGTGTTCCAGACATTTTTCGTACAAGTGTACCAGACATTTTTCGTACGAGTGTTCCAGACATTTTTCTTACGAGTGTTCCAGACATTTTTCGTACGAGTGTACCAGACATTTCATACGAGTGTTCCAGACATTTCATACGAGTGTTCCAGACATTTCATACGAGTGTTCCAGACATTTCATACGAGTGTTCCAGACATTTCATACGAGTGTTCCAGACATTTCATACGAGTGTTCCAGACATTTCATACGAGTGTTCCAGACATTTCATACGAGTGTTCCAGACATTTTTCATTCGAGTGTTCCAGACATTTCATACGAGTGTTCCAGACATTTTTCGTACGAGTGTTCCAGACATTTTTCTTACGAGTGTTCCAGACATTTTTCGTACGAGTGTACCAGACATTTCATACGAGTGTTCCAGACATTTCATACAAGTGTTCCAGACATTTTTCTTACGAGTGTTCCAGACATTTTTCGTACGAGTGTTCCAGACATTTTTCGTACGAGTGTTCCAGACATTTCATACGAGTGTTCCAGACATTTCATACGAGTGTACCAGACATTTCATACGAGTGTTCCAGACATTTCATACGAGTGTTCCAGACATTTCATACGAGTGTTCCAGACATTTCATACGAGTGTTCCAGACATTTCATACGAGTGTTCCAGACATTTCATACGAGTGTTCCAGACATTTCATACGAGTGTTCCAGACATTTTTCGTACGAGTGTTCCAGACATTTCATACGAGTGTTCCAGACATTTCATACGAGTGTTCCAGACATTTTTCGTACGAGTGTACCAGACATTTCATACGAGTGTTCCAGACATTTCATACGAGTGTTCCAGACATTTTTCTTACGAGTGTTCCAGACATTTTTCGTACGAGTGTTCCAGACATTTTTCGTACGAGTGTTCCAGACATTTCATACGAGTGTTCCAGACATTTCATACGAGTGTACCAGACATTTCATACGAGTGTTCCAGACATTTCATACGAGTGTTCCAGACATTTCATACGAGTGTTCCAGACATTTCATACGAGTGTTCCAGACATTTCATACGAGTGTTCCAGACATTTTTCGTACGAGTGTTCCAGACATTTCATACGAGTGTTCCAGACATTTCATACGAGTGTTCCAGACATTTTTCGTACGAGTGTTCCAGACATTTCATACGAGTGTTCCAGACATTTCATACGAGTGTTCCAGACATTTCATACGAGTGTTCCAGACATTTCATACGAGTGTTCCAGACATTTCATACGAGTGTTCCAGACATTTCATACGAGTGTTCCAGACATTTCATACGAGTGTTCCAGACATTTTTCGTACGAGTGTTCCAGACATTTCATACGAGTGTTCCAGACATTTTTCGTACGAGTGTTCCAGACATTTTTCTTACGAGTGTTCCAGACATTTTTCGTACGAGTGTTCCAGACATTTCATACGAGTGTTCCAGACATTTCATACGAGTGTTCCAGACATTTCATACGAGTGTTCCAGACATTTCATACGAGTGTTCCAGACATTTCATACGAGTGTTCCAGACATTTCATACGAGTGTTCCAGACATTTTTCGTACGAGTGTTCCAGACATTTCATACGAGTGTTCCAGACATTTTTCGTACGAGTGTTCCAGACATTTTTCTTACGAGTGTTCCAGACATTTTTCGTACGAGTGTTCCAGACATTTCATACGAGTGTTCCAGACATTTCATACGAGTGTTCCAGACATTTCATACGAGTGTTCCAGACATTTCATACGAGTGTTCCAGACATTTCATACGAGTGTTCCAGACATTTCATACGAGTGTTCCAGACATTTTTCATTCGAGTGTTCCAGACATTTCATACGAGTGTTCCAGACATTTTTCGTACGAGTGTTCCAGACATTTTTCTTACGAGTGTTCCAGACATTTTTCGTACGAGTGTACCAGACATTTCATACGAGTGTTCCAGACATTTCATACGAGTGTTCCAGACATTTTTCTTACGAGTGTTCCAGACATTTTTCGTACGAGTGTTCCAGACATTTTTCGTACGAGTGTTCCAGACATTTCATACGAGTGTTCCAGACATTTCATACGAGTGTTCCAGACATTTCATACGAGTGTTCCAGACATTTCATACGAGTGTTCCAGACATTTCATACGAGTGTTCCAGACATTTCATACGAGTGTTCCAGACATTTTTCGTACGAGTGTTCCAGACATTTCATACGAGTGTTCCAGACATTTCATACGAGTGTTCCAGACATTTTTCGTACGAGTGTTCCAGACATTTCATACGAGTGTTCCAGACATTTCATACGAGTGTTCCAGACATTTCATACGAGTGTTCCAGACATTTTTCGTACGAGTGTTCCAGACATTTCATACGAGTGTTCCAGACATTTTTCGTACGAGTGTACCAAAGATTTTCGTACGAGTGTACCAAAGATTTTCGTACGAGTGTACCAAAGATTTTTCGTACGAGTGTACCAGACATTTTTCTGCTATTTTTGAGGGCCGTTCAGACCGAGAACGATAACTATATTTGCGCCACACCAACGAACGACAACGGTCTGTTTACTCTAAGCTCGTGCGCTGCGGTTTCAACGTGTGTACAACGTCTTTGAACATGTTTTTGCTGTTCTTGCTCTTCTTGTTCTTGCGGTTTTGAGTCAAGCTAGTGTGATCCATCTAATAATCTAACACTGAATGTATCTGGCGTAGTCAGTGTAGTGGAATAAGACAACACCTAGTCTTTTTCAGCGCAATGTTGTGGAAACGAGCGCTGGACACCTGAGGTAAAACTTGTCGACTGTTTTCCAGATCCATTTTCTTGAAAAGCGGCTCGACTTGTCAAACAGTGCAGGACTTTTCTGGACCTCGGCGATTAACTTCTCCACAATGACGTCTGGCATTATAAATGCACAAACCCTTAAATCAGGGGCTCATCATTTCTCTATATCGATATCGTTGTGCTGTGAACTATTCTTCAATATTGAGAACGATTTTTTAGAACTAGGTTATATCTTTATCGTTATTGTTATCGTCATTGGTGTGAACGGGCCTTTAGACTTCTAACTTGTGTCCAGCGCTTTGTTTTACTCTAACCTCTGCGTTTGTCAATTCTCACCGTAGCTTTACGTCAGGACATTTTTAAAAACATTCAAACTCCTTTTGTGGCCCTTAATCGAAAGAAGGCATTATTACAACACCAGGGTGAGTAAATGAGGAGTTTATTTTGGGGTGAATAATCCCTTTAAACTAAACCAAACTGAAAGTTTAAGTTAAAGTACTATAACTATTAACTATAAAACTAAAACCGAAATTAAAATAAATTAAACCTAAATAGCAATATTTAAAAAAGACAGAAAATTTATAAAATGACAAAAGCACAAAACGGAATGAACATAACTAAAAATATATAAATAAAGGTACTTCAAAATATTAAACTAAAATGACACTGGTGCATTGCAGTTTTAACTTTAAAAAAAAACATTAAAAAAATGTGTTACTTTAAATAACTGGAAAAAAAATGTTTGAACTTTTTTGAAACAAAAAAACTTATTTTGTTTTTAGCTCATTTTAAATGTAGTTTATGTACTACAATAAATGGAAACTATAGACCTGTGTTCATTAATGTGTGTGTCGTCAGATCACAAGCAGAACTTTACAATCCCATCGGCCACGTTTTGGAACTGTGCTCTCACACTAATTTGCCCTGATTAGTAAAAACTTTAACTAAAATGGAAAAGAACAAGCATAGAAAGCCTGTCCTGCAGCGTGTGAATGGTGTTGTTTCGGAGTGTTAATGATGATTGTGTGTGTGTGTGTTCCTCAGGCGCCATGCAGACCCCCGAGGCCGGCGCTGACTCCTCGTCCAACACACTCCAGACCAGCGTACCTGTGCAGCCTGCAGTCAGCGGCCAGCAGGGGGCGTCTCAGCAGGTGACACTCACACACACACACTCACACACACACTCACACACCCACTCCAGACCAGCGTACCTGTGCAGCCTGCAGTCAGCGGCCAGCAGGGGGCGTCTCAGCAGGTGACACTCACACACACACACTCACGCACACACACACACTCCAGACCAGCGTACCTGTGCAGCCTGCAGTCAGCGGCCAGCAGGGGGCGTCTCAGCAGGTGACACTCACACACACACACACACACACACACTCACACACACACACACCCACTCCAGACCAGCGTACCTGTGCAGCCTGCAGTCAGCGGCCAGCAGGGGGCGTCTCAGCAGGTGACACTCACACACACACACTCACACACACACTCACACACACACACACACTCACACACACACACACCCACTCCAGACCAGCGTACCTGTGCAGCCTGCAGTCAGCGGCCAGCAGGGGGCGTCTCAGCAGGTGACACTCACACACACACACTCACGCACACACTCACACACACACACTCCAGACCAGCGTACCTGTGCAGCCTGCAGTCAGCGGCCAGCAGGGGGCGTCTCAGCAGGTGACACTCACACACACACACACACACACACACACTCACACACACACACACCCACTCCAGACCAGCGTACCTGTGCAGCCTGCAGTCAGCGGCCAGCAGGGGGCGTCTCAGCAGGTGACACTCACACACACACACTCACGCACACACTCACACACACACACTCCAGACCAGCGTACCTGTGCAGCCTGCAGTCAGCGGCCAGCAGGGGGCGTCTCAGCAGGTGACACTCACACACACACACACACACACACACACACACTCACACACACACACACCCACTCCAGACCAGCGTACCTGTGCAGCCTGCAGTCAGCGGCCAGCAGGGGGCGTCTCAGCAGGTCACACACACACACACACACCAGACCAGCGTAACTGTGCAGTCAGTGGCCAGCAGGGGGCGTCTCAGCAGGTGACACTCACACACACACACACACACCCACTCCAGACCAGCGTACCTGTGCAGCCTGCAGTCAGCGGCCAGCAGGGGGCGTCTCATCAGTTCACACACACACACACACTGCAGTGAGTCAAGGGGAAATCAGACGCATTCAGATCACACCAATCTATGGTTTTATGGAATCACCTGACCAGTTTTAAAGGGACACTTCACCCAAAAATGTAAATTCTGTCATAATTTACTCACCATCATGTTGTTCCAGACCTGTATGAGTTTCTCTCTTCTGCTGAACACAAAAGAAGATAGAGTGAAGAATGGTGATAGTCAAACAGTTGATGGCATGGGAGGCGTCAAACGTTTACATCATTTACTCACCACGTGATGGTGAGTAAATGATGACAGAATCTTCATTTTTAAGTGAACTGTCCCTTTAAAAAAAAGGCTGACTTGTAAAACTAGTCTATGCAACTGACCACATGAATGAACGAATATATATATATACATACACACACTGTTTAGTAGTAAGAAGTGGTTTCAAAAGCAAATATGGTTACACTATTTCGATAGTCCACTTTATAGAATGATAGACATTCTAATAACTGTAAGTAACTTTGCAACTTCCTCATGAACTCATTCATTTGCAACTAACCATCTTCCACTAACTCGTGAGAGTATTATTAGACTGTTAAGTTCTTTATGAGTTTGACTTTTTTAAAATAATTTGTTACATTTAAATCAGTCTAACGAATGACTCGCTTGGCTAAATTCTGTTTAGAAAATAAAAATGTATGGTGTTTTACTCAGCTATTTTTTTTTTGCCGGTTTATGGACTCTTTCACGACTGTGGCATCATGTTTCAACAGTTAATAACATGTTTTTTTATATTTTAATTTAAGACTTTATGTACATTTATAACACTATACTTGGTGTTTTCTCGGCATTGCTAAACTAGATGCAGCAAAACTAGTGCTTTTCTAAATAATGTCTGAGATCAAACTTGACATCTTTCTCTCTTCTGACTATCGTAATCGATATCCATATTTTGCTCTTTTGGAAAGTCATAGAAACGCTATAACGTTTTTTTTTTCTTCCTTTTGCACTATACAATTTGATCTAACAACTTCTGCTTCTGAGACGCGTGGAGATGTGAAAGGTCCATTACTGAGCTGCTGCTGAACACTTATTTCTCTATTCCTGAGTGTTTACTGAGCGGCGATGGTGTGTTTCAGGCGCAGACTGTTCAACAGGTCCAGCATGTGTATCAAGCACAGGTGCAGTACGTTCAGGAGGAGAACAACAGCGTTTACACCAACGGGACCATGTGAGTGTTTCCTCGCAGACACATGTCCTCCCATAGGATTTTAAACGTGTGCTTTAAAGCATCGGTTCCCAACAGGGGGGTCGCGGCCCACAAGGGGGCTTCAGCGAGCTCTGAGGGGGGTCGTGTCATATTTTGAAATGTTTTGAGCAATGAGCATTAAATAAAAGTCCATAACTTTTTTCTGTTCAAAATTTACTAAATTTATATAATGAGCGAGTTCATCATGAATCCATTTTTCAATCCGTGTTTTTGTCTTATCCTGAACCACTATGGTCCACCTATAATAAGTGTTTACATTGGGACTATTTCACACTGGTTCGGATGCGGAGTAGCCCAGAGTAGCCCAGTGCCTGCGTGACTCGTCATAGACGTCAGGGCCTGAATTTCGTTTTGGAAAATGGGGGGGGAAATCCCCCCTTAGATGATTCTCATGGGGGGGGGGGGGGGGGGGGGGTTGTTTGAGGGGGAGAAAGGGAAAAGCATTTTTTCCAAACAAAATTATTACATTTATCTTGCCTAAATGTTTGCGCTCATTGCATTTTTACAATGGGGTAATATTGTTGTTAAGAATTTACACATCACAAGGAAGCTTGATTTAAATTGTTTAATTAAATTCAAAAAAGTAGCACAAATAAATACAATAGAATAAAGATACAAATAAAGATAATTAAAGAGAAAAGTTTTTCAATAGGTCTAACACTAGTATTCACAGAAACTGAATAAAGTAATCAAATGGAAAATAAAACTGGGTAGTATTTTAGTCCTGAATAAATTAAATACATAGACTATTAATCCTGATTCCTTTAACTTAAAGCTATCTTTTGTTTTGACAACAAAATTAATGACAGACACATATGGCTTCCGTCACTTTAAGAGCTAGTGCACGGATCCTGTGTTCATTATACTGGCATGCGTTTTATGCTTATTAAAGACAAAACCGACTATGTTTAGAGTATAGCCTACTCACAAAGACCGAAATTGACAATTTTGCGTGTTAAAGCAATATAATCCGCGAAAAATAGTTACTGGCCAGCTGTTTTTGAGGCGGATTTTCTATGAATGTGCGCATAGAAAATAATCTCAGAGAGCGCGCGAGCACTGACTAGTTTAAAATCGCTTGAATGTTTAAACTGGTAAGACTTAAAAAGACTTCAGTCACGATGCACTGCTGGCCCGATTGTGCAAGTGAATATCCGTCATGTCCCGACTCCTAAACGCGAGTGTGTATTATCGCCGCAGCGCTTGATGCTTGCCTTGCACAACACATTATGAGAAGAGAAGGAAGACGCGGCACGCTGAACACTCACGCTGTTTGTGAAATTGCGCCTGGCAGATGGTTGTTAAAAGATGATTTGATTTTATAATCTGTGTGGATTACGATTGCGGGAATTTCCCGCATTATAAATGGGAGACCTGTGGGAATGATTAGAATTATGCGCAATATCCGCAATCCCGCGCCGAAATTCAAGCCCTGGACGTACACAGAGAGATGTAGTTCCGGCTACAATGTTCTTTCCGAAAGACGCATTATTCTGTCAATAAACGCAAGTTTATTATCGCTCGCTATAGCGCCAAAAGCGTAAAAAATAAAGCCTCACATTGATAAAGCCTCACAAATAACTTGCAAGTATTGAGGCCCCAGACAGCAGTCATTTAGTAATAGCCTATATTCTTTTTTTTTTTTTTACCTACACACCACTGTGAATATTTTTGTTTTTGCATTTCAAATAGGGCCAATATATAGGCTTCTCCTAGGCTTACGTTTTTAAATTACAAAGGGCCTGCTGATGTTTTTGTTATTGTATTTCCAATATTACAGGCTATTATTTGTGCATAAACATATCTGGTTATAGTAAACATACCGTTTGTTTGAAAACAACATATTTTGTCATCCTTGCTGCAAGCTTACAAGAGCGATCATTAAATGTGAAGGGGGGCCCTAAAATATTTTCTTGGGAAAAAGGGGGTCTCAGACAAAAAAAGGTTGGGAACCACTGCTTTAAAGGGATAGTGCACCTTGCCCTCATGCCATTCAAAACCTTTCTTCTGTAGATCACAAAAGATGACATTTCAACAACAACAAAAAAAGGTTTCATACATAGATTCCACATTTGACGCGTCCGCCATCTTGAAACAGTTATCATGACGCCGTGCATCTCTCACACTAACAAATCAATCTATTTCAATCGGAAATGTCACTGTAAAATGGCTGTAAAAACCAGAGAGCGGTAATGACCGTTCAGAGGTGAGAATGGCATCATATATCTGGAGTCATTTCCCATTGACTTCCATTGTTTGTTTATTTTTTTCAATGGGAAATGGAACTGTTTGGTTACCATTATTCTATCTTCTTTTCCATTCCACAGAAGAAAGTAAGTCATACTAGTTTGGAACAACATGAGGATGAATAAATGACAGATTTTTAGGTGAATTTTTGGGTGAACTATCTCTTTAACGCACACACGCTACAGACCGGTGCTTGAGGACACCATCACAGTGGTGCAAAACAAAGGCCCATTCTCAACAATAACTTAATTTGCATACTTATGCACTATTCTATGATGTTTTGTAGTATAATAGTGTGTTTACTCCAAATAGAATAAGTGCGTTTAAATACCCGGATGATGCTCTTAGTTAACACAAAAAAATGGACACTTTGGACACTTCATGCACTCGACTGACGATGTTGAACGACAAAATAACCTTATAAAGTTCATGCACTACAACGGTTGAGTGCATAAGTGTACAAGTGCGTCTTTTGGGACATTTTTAAAAATCGTTCTATTCCACACCACAACTATGACAATAACGGCACAGATAAATACATTTTTTCCAGCTGATGAATGATAACATTTTAAAGCAGAATGAATTCTGATTGGCTGTCAGAGTTTGTGCATTTAAAGCGACAGACGACAAAACTGCAGCGCATATATCATGTGGATGCTAATATAGTTACTGCACTTAGCGTGAAAGGGCCTTTACTCTCTCATACTATCATAGATCAAATAAGGGTTGCATGATTGTGAGTACACTGTGCGTCATCACTGCTTCTGAGACTCGTGGCGTTCAGTCATCTGACACACAAGTGTCCACAAGTGGTGGTGAAGCGGCGAGCTGTACGGCAGGAACGCACCTGAAGTGCTTCTGTCGGGTTTCTCCTTCATATTTAGACATTCACTCAGCAAGAAGCCAAGATCTTTTAAATTGGCTATTATAAATGAAATGTCATCAGCCGAACGGAGAAAGCACGTATCAGAATGGAAATCAAAAGCAATGTTCTCCATAAAACAGTTATGCTTTGGTGATTTCTGTATCCATGGAAACAGCACTCTCACCTGAAGATGAAAGGAGGGGAACTCATCAAAACACGACTTATGTTTCTCGAGTCAATTAAAGACAAGCGTGCACGCCGATATAAAGATACATGTCAGAAATCATTTTCAAGATTCTTTTTTGTGACTATACGAAGTTGGAGCAATAATTACAGTGCCACCACATATAACTTTGTGCAAACTAAACATCTCATTTAAATAACTACAATTTAAGTAGAATTTTAAAGAAACAACCAAAATACTGTACAATACAATGCATAAACAATACACACAAAACCAGTGCAAGCAAGGCGAAGTCAAATAAGCAATAATACTGCATGAAACTAAAGAGAGGTAAGTGCAACAATGTAACCAAATTCAAATAGTTTAAACACATAGACACACGGAGATATATAGGGGGAGTTGTTAACCTCATGTGTGACCCTGGATCACAGAACCAGTCACGAGTCGCACGGGTTTACCTGTGGCGATAGCCAACAATATATTGTATGGGTCAAAATTATCGTCAAATTATCAAAAATCATTAGGATATTAAGTAGAGATCATGTTCCATGAAGATATTTTGTACATATCCTACCTTAAATATATAAAACAATATATTTTTGTGAGTGGATGCAGCAAAATCGCGAACGTAAATGCACAACTTTAAAGGCGATTTTCTCAATGTTTAGATTTTTTTGCACCCTCAAGATTCCAGATGTTCAATAGTTGTATTCCGGCCAAATATTGTCCTATCCTAACACACCATACATCAATGGAAAGCTTATTTATTCAGCTCAATTCATATACTGAGATATAGCATGCCCCCTCAGATAAGTGCATTTCTCAGTTTATGAGTGTGTGTGTGTGTGTGTGTGCTGGCAGTGTTTAACTCCCGTATGGTGCTGGGGTAGAAACTGTTCTTGAGTGTATTGGTCCGCGATTTGATGGACCTAAAACGTTTACCAGAGAGCAGCAATTCAAACAACCGATGTCCCGGATGGAAAGGATCCTTTAAAATATTCCCTGCTCTTCTGAGAGAGCGTGCGGTGTAATACCGTCTCCTAACCAGACGCGATGCGATTCCAGCGACAGGCAGTTTCTCTGTCCACACCAGACGCGACTGCGAGATGCGTCATAATCAATCAAACCCCACAGCCAATCAGAGAGCAGCGTGTGGGCGGAGTCTCACGGCCCCAGAGTAATCCTGACGGCACTCACAAGAACATGGATAAGTACATAATCAAATATTACACCATTTAAACATTATTAGAAATACATACTGAGTTACTAAAACAACCTTTGTCAAAGAATACACTTGTTTGTTCACAGTTTGAAAGTTTGTTTCCATTCGTTTACTTTCAAGATCTGAGGTGAATTATCCATTGTTGCTTTTACAGCTGCTTCTAAAATAGAATCGTCGCGGCTGGCTAGCAGAAACACTGATTGACATGGAAAATACGACTTTTATCGGTGTAAAGCTCTTTTAGGGAAGGTTAAGGGCAGCCAATGAGAGCGTAAAGCAACACATGTTCTTGTTTTATTGGCAGACGGACGTATTCATACTCAGAACCGCAGCTGTACAACCAGAACAGCGGCGGGAACTACTTCGACACGCAAGGCAGCTCGGGTCAGGTGAGCGCGGTGGTGACCAATCACAGCATGGCTAACAACGGCAACGGGAACGGCGCTCTGGGAATGGGCCTATCAGGAGGCCAGATCATCAGCAGCTCTGGAGCTTATCTGATTGGAGGAAACTCCATGGATGGCTCCGCCCCTCACTCCGCGGCTCAGACCACCAGAGCCTCCCCCGCCACGGTGAGCACCAATCACATCGCTCATAACCAGTGTTGTGTGTAACACATAGCGAGTTGCGTAATCACATTACTTTTTCAAGGAACTAGTAAAGTAACACTACTTTTTCAATTCACAACAAAATATCTAAGTTACTTTTTCAAATAAGTAACGCTAAATACTTTTTCACATTTATTGACTGACAGCTCTACTGTCCCCATGTTGAGAGAAATAAAGTGAGGTGGTGTGTGTGTGTGAACATGATGGTTATTGTAGTTCTAGACTAAATGTGAACGTGCATTACCTCAGAGTGAATGAAAACAGTAAAATGCAATCTCAGAATTTTGGTGAGAAAAAGTAACGCAAAATTAGTGTAACGCATTACTTTTCATAAAAAGTAACTAAGTAACGCAATTGGTTACTTTAAGGAGTAACGCAATGTTGTAATAGTTGGGGGCCTTAAGCACATTTTCACGCAAATTCATCTAAAAGCGCCAAATTTGGTGCTTCTAGATGAATTTGCGTGAACAATGGGGTGTAAGGCCCCATACTACAGCCCAAACTGCTTTTTTGGACAGCGGCCATATTGGAATTGGAGGATCAAGGGGTCCATATATACTGGGTCATAAATATAATCATTCCTATGTGTTTCCCATGATCAATTAAGCTGAAAAACATATCAAGTTTGTATTTGTAACTCATCATGTGGTTCAAAAGTTATAGCCAGAACCCTTTTCGGGCAGCGGCCATATTGGATTTGGCCGCCATCTTGGCCCCGAGGGTCGCTGGCTCCGGCGCCATAGCTAAATCATTTCGATATGACCTGAGTGCCAAATTTGGTGCTTTTAGATGAATTTGTGCGAAATGACCTATTTATGTGCTTAATTCCCCCAACTATAATGCATTACTTTTCAAAGTAACTTCCCCCAACACTGCACTTAAAGAGACAGTGCACACAAACATCATTTACTCGCACGACCTCAAGCTGTTCCAAACCTGTACGAGTTTCTTTCTCGTGTTGAACATGAAGATAATCAAACAGTTGCTGGTCCCCATTGACCAACATCCTTCAAAAGATCATCTTTTGTGTTCAGCACAAGAAACTCAAACAGGTCTGGAACAACAAATGATGATTTTGGGGTCTCTTTAACCCTCATGTTGTCTTCCAGTTATTTCACCCGGAGAGGGGGGACATTTTTCCCCCTACGGTTAGACTTGTTATTTATTGATTAATTTAAATAATTTTTTATATAATATTAAAACGTTTTTACTACTCACATTTATTTAATATCACATTATTTAATATTTAATTACACTTTTTAAAATTATTTATTCAGATTAAGTTGTTTTGAGGTGAACTTTGAGCTCAGATCAACGAGGCGAAACACAACCTGTGCTCGTCGACAGAAAACAAGCCGACAAAAAGATTGAACCCAATATTTGCCAATAACAGCATAAAGAGATTTAGAAGCAGTTTTTAAAAGGCCGGTCATTTTTGGATAATCTGAGGGTTAAACAAGGGTTAATCTGAAATGTGCTTGTGATTATTAAAGCCAGTTTTGAAAGAGCCTAAAACTTTTGAATCAAATACTTCAATTTAATTAATTCATTCAAATGAGTTGTCAATCTGAATAATTATACAGGCTGTTACCAATCAAAGTAATTAGCATATTTTATGTGATAATGGGTCTGTTCCAAAATCATCCACCTCATTTCTTTAATGTGAAAGTAAGCTATTTCGTGTGAGCGTGCATGACTTCAGACTCATTAGCTGGTGATTATTTCTATAGCACTTAATTCAGGACAGACCGTTTCAAAGCAGCTTCACTGTAATAAACGGGAAAATAATGATGCAAACTTCATTAAATATGACACACATTCTAAAAAAACAATAGTGTCATCATTCAGATCAGTAAACGGTAAAACTATTTGCACTACAAACTAGTGTTTACAATATAAGTATTAAAATATGATAACAAATGCCAGTTTGCAATATTAAACAGCATAACGGACTGTTTTTGTACAACTGGAAGCGGGTAATAAAGTGGATAGATTAGCAACATGCATGCACAAGTACAGTAGTTTGTTGTACTGATGGTTTTCAGCATTAAAAGCATGAGTACATATAAACATACAAGCAGTGCTGCCGTATGATTGGACCAACACAACGCAGCATGTTGAGCATCATGTGATGTCTTAAAATATTATAGGATGTTATGTAGAAGGAAAAAAACTTTATATTGCTTCATTAATGTTGTCAACCACCTTTATATTGTTAGAATATGTAAATGAATGGTTGGTTTATAAAATCGTCTGCATTTTTGTATCCCCGCTCACAGACAGTCGGATCGGGCCCAGTGCATTATGGGTGTTGAGGTTCTCCAACCTTTTTGGGAACTTCACAGCCCCTTTTCTTTAATCGTGAAGCACTGATTTCTATGGAAGCTTGTGTCCGCCACAGAAAAACACATTTTAAAAGATAATTGTGACTTTTTATCTCACAATTGCAAGATATAAAGTCATAATTATGAGATATAAACTCACAATTCTGACTTTATAACACAATTGTGACTTTATATCACGCAATTCTGACTTTATAACACAATTGTGACTTTATATCACGCAATTCTGACTTTATATCACACAATTGTGACTTTATATCGCGCAATTCTGACTTTATATCACGCAATTCTGACTTTATAACACACAATTCTGACTTTATATCACGCAATTCTGACTTTATAACACACAATTCTGACTTTATAACACACAATTCTGACTTTATATCACGCAATTCTGACTTCATATCACGCAATTCTGACTTTATCACGCAATTGTGACTTTATATCACGCAATTCTGACTTTATATCACGCAATTCTGACTTTATAACACAATTGTGACTTTATATCACGCAATTCTGTCTTTATAACACGCAATTGTGACTTTATATCATGCAATTGTGACTTTATAACACGCAATTGTGACTTTATAACACGCAATTGTGACTTTATATCACGCAATTGTGACTTTATATCCAGTGTTGGAGAAGTTACTTTTAAAAAGTAGTGTTTTCTCGTTACTCGTTACTTCTTAAAAAAGTAATCCGTTACTTTACTTAGTTACCCCCTTTGGAAAGTAACTTTTTATGTTACTCGTTACTTTTACGTTACTTTTATGTTGCTTGACTTTGGGCAGAACCCAATATCTGTTCCTAAATGTGTAGGCCTACATAAAATTCTACCATGAACTCTACTTATTGAAAAACTAGAAAAAAAAAACTAAAAAAAGAGAGAGATTTTGAGATAGAAAAAAAATATATATTTATTTAAATAACATTTGAAAAACCTGTATAAACTGAACACCAAAGCACAATATTAACTATTGAGCGGTGGTGACGCGTTCATGAAAAATGTCACAAAGAACCGGCAAAAGAAATGATTATGAATATCGAATATCAAATATAGCAAGGAGACATTTCAATTGTTTATTAATAAACAAGTGTTTTCTTTGTCAGTCAGTGTCGGCTGCAAAGATAAAGTTGACGATGCTGACTCGCAATCTTCACAGTAGTGAACGCGCCAGAGAGAAATGCACATTTCATATGGATTACATAAGCAGAGAGTAGTCTGTTTTCTCTCGTTTTGAATAGTTTTGTTTTAAAGTACACATTTCAAGCTTTCTATATATTTCTCAGATCTTTGAGGCAAGTAGCTTGCGCTAAGTTTCGGTTCATTTATGAGACGAGCTCAGTCCACGCGCCGGCACGGAGCTCCTGAGAAGTCCTGATTATATTGCCTGCTATATTTACTGCTTATTTATTAAAGACAATTGGTTGATGAAACATTGATTAAAATTAAGATACAATTAATACAAAACGAAATTCACTTTAAAGAAAGGCTTTCTACAAAAACAAACTTAATGAAGTGGTCAAAATCATGTCTGACCACTCCATTTGTCTCCCGATTGCGCATCTTATGCTCTTACTCATGCTTTTCACTTTTCATATAATCAACATTGATGAAATTAAAAAATAAATTATTTTATTTAAACATAAATATGAAACTAAATCGTTTTCTTTAATGACTAGGCTACAACACGCAGGTCTATACAGAGAAATTTAATATCGGAGCGGGATTTGAGCGAACGCCGTCTTACTGTAAGCATGTGGGGGTAGAGGTACGATTTTCGAGCAATCATCGAATATTATTTTGCTTGATATGCCAATCCTTAATATTTGGTGTTTTAAATGCCTGTTTGAGGTCTCTGTGAAAGATTTAAAGCAGTATTTTAGTGCCGCTTTCAGAGCGGTCAAGTCCGAAGAACTGTTACGTCCATATTGTTTCTTTCCTCATACACGAAAAATTCAATACAATTAATATTTTATGTTCTGTGGAGAGCCAACCCTTCTTCATCCGGTGGGAGTATTACTTTTGGTTTGCGCAGTGTAATTCACAGAATTGATTGCTCTGCTACCAGCCTCTGTCACGTAGCCTACCATGTGGAGCTTGTGACTATTGCAAGCGCGCAGCTGAGGAGACACTGTTGCTGTCAAATCTGTCCATGGGAAAAGTAACGTTGTGCGGAATAGAAAAAGGAACTACGTTTCGTTACCAAATTCTCAGTAGTAACGCGTTACACTACTTTTTATCCGAAAAAGTAGTTACGTTACTGTAACGCGTTACACACAACACTGTTTATATCACGCAATTGTCTTTATAACACGCAATTGTGACTTTATATCATGCAATTGTGACTTTATATCACGCAATTCTGTCTTTATAACACGCAATTGTGACTTTATATCATGCAATTGTGACTTTACAACACGCAATTGTGACTTTATAATACGCTATTGTGACTTTATAACACGCAATTGTGACTTTATATCACGCAATTGTGACTTTATAACACGCAGTTGTTACTTTATAACACGCAATTGTGACTTTATATCACGCAATTGTGACTTTATATCACGCAATTCTGTCTTTATAACACGCAATTGTGACTTTATATCATGCAATTGTGACTTTATAACACGCAATTGTGACTTTATAACACGCAATTGTGACTTTATAACACACAATTGTGACTTTATAACACGCAATTGTGACTTTATAACACGCAATTCTGTCTTTATAACACGCAATTGTGACTTTATAACACGCAGTTGTTACTTTATAACACGCAATTGTGACTTTATATCACGCAATTCTGTCTTTATAACACGCAATTGTGACTTTATAACACGCAGTTGTTACTTTATAACACACAATTGTGACTTTATAACACGCAATTGTGACTTTATAATACGCTATTGTGACTTTATAACACGCAATTGTGACTTTATAACACGCAGTTGTTACTTTATAACACGCAATTGTGACTTTATATCACGCAATTGTGACTTTATATCACGCAATTCTGTCTTTATAACACGCAATTGTGACTTTATATCATGCAATTGTGACTTTATAACACGCAATTGTGACTTTATAACACGCAATTGTGACTTTATAACACACAATTGTGACTTTATAACACGCAATTGTGACTTTATAACACGCAATTCTGTCTTTATAACACGCAATTGTGACTTTATAACACGCAGTTGTTACTTTATAACACGCAATTGTGACTTTATATCACGCAATTCTGTCTTTATAACACGCAATTGTGACTTTATAACACGCAGTTGTTACTTTATAACACACAATTGTGACTTTATAACACGCAATTGTGACTTTATAACACGCAATTCTGTCTTTATAACACGCAATTGTGACTTTATAACACGCAGTTGTTACTTTATAACACGCAATTGTGACTTTATATCACGCAATTCTGTCTTTATAACACGCAATTGTGACTTTATAACACGCAATTGTGACTTTATAACACGCAATTCTGTCTTTATAACACGCAATTGTGACTTTATAACACGCAGTTGTTACTTTATAACACAATTGTGACTTTATAACACGCAATTGTGACTTTATAACACGCAATTCTGTCTTTATAACACGCAATTGTGACTTTATAACACGCAGTTGTTACTTTATAACACGCAATTGTGACTTTATATCACGCAATTCTGTCTTTATAACACGCAATTGTGACTTTATAACACGCAATTGTGACTTTATATCATGCAATTGTGACTTTATAACACGCAATTGTGACTTTATAACACGCAATTGTGACTTTATAACACACAATTGTGACTTTATAACACGCAATTGTGACTTTATAACACACAATTGTGACTTTATAACACGCAATTGTGACTTTATATCACACAATTGTGACTTTATAACACACAATTGTGACTTTATAACACACAATTGTGACTTTATAACACGCAATTGTGACTTTATAACACACAATTGTGACTTTATAACACGCAATTGTGACTTTATAACACACAATTGTGACTTTATAAAACGCAATTGTGACTTTATATCACGCAATTCTGACTTTATATCACGCAATTGTGACTTTATATCACGCAATTGTGACTTTATATCACGCAATTCTGACTTTATAACACGCAATTCTGACTTTATATCACGCAATTGTGACTTTATATCACGCAATTGTGACTTTATAACACGCAATTGTGACTTTATAACACACAATTGTGACTTTATAACACGCAATTGTGACTTTATATCACGCAATTGTGACTTTATATCACGCAATTGTGACTTTATAACACGCAATTGTGACTTTATATCACGCAATTCTGACTTTATATCACGCAATTCTGACTTTATATCACGCAATTGTGACTTTATATCACGCAATTGTGACTTTATAACACGCAATTGTGACTTTATATCACGCAATTCTGACTTTATATCACGCATTTCTGACTTTATAACACGCAATTATGACTTTATATCACGCAATTGTGACTTTATATCACGCAATTGTGACTTTATATCACGCAATTGTGACTTTATATCACGCAATTCTGACTTTATATCACGCAATTCTGACTTTATAACACGCAATTGTGACTTTATATCACGCAATTCTGACTTTATATCACGCAATTCTGACTTTATAAGACAATTGCGACGTTATATCACGCAATTGTGACTTTATATCACGCAATTCTGACTTTATAACACAATTGTGACTTTATATCACGCAATTCTGACTTTATAACACGCAATTGTGACTTTATATCACGCAATTCTGACTTTATATCACGCAATTCTGACTTTATAAGACAATTGCGACGTTATATCACGCAATTGCGACGTTATATCACGCAATTGCGACGTTATATCACGCAATTCTGAAAGACAGAATTGTGAGATAAAAAGTCGCAATTACCTTTGTTATGTGTTATTCTGTGGTGTAAACAAGCTTCCATAGATGTCTACTGCATGTTTTATTTTGCCAGCAATGAATTACACCTTTAATTTCTAAGTCTGTATATGAAGACTTGGCCTCATTATCAAATGTAATGTTGCTTAGATGTTCAGTTCTGAGTGAAGGTTTACAGAAGCTGGATCATGAGGACTGTGTGTGTGTGTGTGTGTTGGTGGCTGGGATGCTTTAGTCGGGTCTATTTCTGCTGCTCATCTCTGGTTTCAGTACAGCTATCTTTCGCTACAGCCTTCATTTGATTTCTCCCCCCCCCCCTCTTTTTGTTTTGTTCTCCTTTATTCTTTTGCTCTTTGGTCTATCAGATTGAAATGGCGATTGAGACGCTCCAAAAGTCTGAAGGTTTATCCAGTCAGAGAAGTTCGCTGCTCAACAGCCATGTAAGTTGTGAACACGCACCGCTTGGCTTTGCTCGCCTCCTAGCGATCTGCTACGGTACTTTACGCTTTTCTCTGTCTCTACGGGTAACTCTCTCTCTCTCACTCTTTCTTAAGGACGTTCACACCAAGGAGATTAATGATAACGTAACTATGTAATAGGGAAGTCCCCGGCGTAACCATAACAACAGAGATATCATTGGAATTACTTTCAGAACTTTATTTTATTCCAGCTGATGAACGATAAAAGCTGACAGCCAATCAGAATCCACCCTGCTTTTACGAGCTCGAGCATTTAAAGCGTCAGGTTTGAAATCAAACGTTATTGCGTTATAGGCTATGTCACAATCGAAATAACTCCATCCAACATCAAGTTCTATGCATTTAAGTATCTGTTGATAGCAAATTTATGCATTTTCCTAAAACAAAAATATAAACATAATAATGTAATTGTACTGAAAAGGAGAGTGTATAGAGTCACCATAAATTGTTCACTATGGCTTTTTTTTTTTTTTTTTTTTAAACTGCTTATGTATTATAAAATTAAATGCATAGAATTGAGTGTGCAAACGTTTGTATTTGACAACTGTAATTTCTATTTAAAATATTGAACAAGGAAGGGATAAAGGAGATGTAAAGTGAACACCGAGAACTTGATCTTATTAGATAAAACACGTGTGGACAGTTTCCCTTTGGGGACATTTGCAGTTGAAAAAAAGAAGAAGTAAAATATCAATATATATTTTATTGCAAATTTAAAAATCACAATAATATCGTATAATGGAGCCTCTGGTGATTCTAGACACTAATGTTTCGTTATCGTCATCGTTCTTGGTGTGAACGGGCCTTTATACTGTGCCGTTTAAAAGAGTCACATGATCAATAACTCATTTACTTCACATGTCTTTGCATTCTTTAAATTTGATTACAAAAAACCCCTAAAAATTTTTATTTCCAGATTCCCAGTGTAGACTCAGACTTTTTAAATGGCACTGTATTTATTAGGTTATGCAAGTTCTATTTTAGTGTAAAGTTTGTTTTTGTTATTTTTTCATGAATGGACTTTTACGTTAAATATGGCAAGATGTTCAATGATTTGTTCTGAGGTTATAGGTCATGCACCAATTAAAAACACCAGGATAGATCACGTCATTCCGAATCTGAGGCTTTCTTTCTTCCGTAGAAACACAAGAAGCAGTTTTATTCAGGGAAGTGTAAAGTGCGAGTGTATGTGACGCGTGTAGCGGTGTTGTTCACAGCTGCAATGGCTGCTGGATAACTACGAGACGGCCGAGGGCGTGAGTTTGCCCCGATCCACCCTGTACAACCACTACCTGCGCCACTGCCAGGAGCAGAAGCTGGACCCGGTGAACGCCGCGTCCTTCGGGAAGCTCATCCGCTCCATCTTCATGGGCCTGCGGACCCGGCGCTTGGGAACCCGGTAACATCTCCAGCTCTCCTCGCATCAACACTAGGGCTGGGCAAAACAAGACATGCTTCTAAATGTGGGCCACTAAATGAGCCACTGTCGTCACTTGGACTATTTTAACAAAGTCTTTACTAACTTTCTGGGCCGGCAAGTTTCAATCCCGTAGAAGCCTGTGGAGGAGTGAGACAGCTCTCAGATTTAATCAGAAATATCTTAATTTGTGTCCTGAAGATGAACGAAAGTCTTACGGGGAACAACATGAGGGAGAGTAACTACAGACAGAGTTTACATTTTGGGGTAAACTATCCCTTTAAATTGCCCAATTTTACTGTCATGACTGAATATTGTAAAAAAAAAAAAAATCACACTAGTATTAATACAGGTGTGCAGTGTTTATAAAGAGCACCAGGAGGAGGCGCTGTAGGAGCGGCAGAAACAGCGGTTTCCCCGGTAACGGCTGAACACAAAACGGTTTCCCCGGTAACGGCTGAACACAAAACGGTTTCCCCGGTAACGGCTGAACACAAAGCAGCGCAGCGCTCATAAACGCTGCTTTATCAGGAAAGATAAAGCAAGATTAAAAAGTTTTGATGTTATTTTCATTGAAAGACAGTCATTTCCCCTCAGATACATTCATATAAATGGACTGCATTTTATATAGCGCTTTCACAGACCCAATGGCCATTTTTTTACATTTTTGCCTCACATTCACCCATTCATACACCGACGGCAGTGTCAGCCATGCAAGGCCATCCAGCTCGTCAGGAGCAGCTGGGGTTAGGTGTCTCTCTCACACACACACACACACACAGCTGGGCTTAGGTGTCTTGCTCGTGGACACCTCGACACTTGGTCAGGTGGAACCGAAGATTGAACCACCAACCTTCTGGTTTGTAGACAACCTACATGAACCACTTATATTATATTATATATTATATTGGTTCAAAAGGCTGTGTTGAACCAATATAATATGGGAAACACTAATATAATTTGACAGATATCAATTATAGGGCCCTATGAAATCCGTTTTATTTTTTCCCAAATTCCGTTTTATTTTTTCCCAGATTCCGTTTTAATTTTTGGGAATTCATTTTTTTTACCCTTTACTGTTATTATAAAAAAACTTTTACCTTTAGTCATAAAAAGAATGTGCTTTTAAAGTTAATGATTAAAATGTATACAAATAAAATGGAAATGACCTTAAATTACAGACATTTACTCAGTAGCCTTTTCAGGACAAATACTGCATGATGCAACATGACACTGCACTCTTCAAGTTACAACAAAATATGGTTATGAGCTTTAAACTGTCCAGTAAAATAAATTATATTAGTTTAAATAAGTCACACTTGTCTCTCTCTCGCCTAGTGTCGCCCTCATAGACAGACGCGGTGTGTTTGTGTGTGTGTGTGTGTATGTGAGAGAGACGCGTGAGTGATAGAGAGACGGAGGGAGAGCGGGGAAAGGAAATACAACGAAAAGAATACGCTACGTGTTTTAAATAGCGTAAAAAAAATGAACGAAACACAATATGTGGCGGCCGGAGTTGATTTTGTGGCCGCGAATTAGTCTATGTGTGGGAAACACTGCATAAAAGTCACGAGCGAACTGCTCGGCTCGGCACTGAGGGCTTATAGCGTCGAGTTTCTTAACTTTTTCGCCGGCGAAAGCAGAGCCGTGGAGAGCCGCTTCGCCATGCTTTCATTGTTTTGATGCCGTCATTGGAGCTGAAATGACGGGAGGGGTTGTGTCGCCCAGATTAGCTTCCCCCGGTCTGCATTTTCACCAGACATCCGTTCTTCTCCCACACAAAAACAGAATTTCAATCCAAATATGTAAAATTCCACGAAATTCCGCGTTAACACTAGATTCCGCGTTAATTTGCCAATTCCGTAATTACGTCCGCGATTCCGTGATCGCGGAAATCATAGGGCCCTACAAATATAGTTTAACCTCTCCATCTTCAGCATCACCAGTGAACAGTGAAAGACCCTCACACAGTGTGGCGTTCCCATCATTTTCAAAGTGACATACACGGCTATTGTGATAATAAAAATGCATACCGTAACAAAAATAAACACTGGTATTCGGTATGAACCGGTATACCGCCCAGCACTATTATCTCTATCACCCAAAAGCCAGCATTAGTTTTCCTCCACTGTTCATAGGCTTGATCCGCCGTGTTACAGCGAATGTTGAGAGATTTTATGTGTGTTTTATCTTAAACATAAAATAACCGGATCCTGTTTGATCAACTGTTCTGACTTGTCCAAATTTTAGCATAAATTTTTCATCTTGTGCCAAAATCCTGTCCATTCATTGCATTTGAAATATAGATTTGGGTTCTGTTTTAATTGTACCTAAAATAAAAAGTCTAATATACAGGTTTGTGGCTCTTAATTTCTTTTTATTAATTAACCACTTGTAAACTTATGTTCACTGTTCTTTTTTATAAATATAGGATTTGTATTAAATCTATATTCATTGAGTCAAATCGGAAATCGAATCGAAACATCTGAATCGATACCCAGCCCTAGTCAACACATGCTCTGTGCTCCTCACTCCAGCGCCCTCTTGTTTTCTCTTCTTGAGTTTAGAGGGAACTCGAAGTATCATTATTACGGGATCCGTGTGAAGCCGGACTCTCCTCTGAACCGGTTGCAGGAGGACATGCAGTACATGGCGCTGAGACAGCAGCCCGTCCAGCAGAAGCAGAGGTTAGTCTCGTCGACCTGCAGCCTATGTGCAGTTTATTTCTGTAGTCAATCATTTTATCCCTTAAAACTCATCTTTGATCACCAAAATTACACATTTAAACGTTTTTTTTTTTCTTTGAAAAATATTCTTTGTGCCTTAAAATATCTTGAATGTAACTCGACACCCTCGCCTCATTTAGTATGCGTGGTTCTATGAATATGCAAATGAGCCCCGCCTCCACTCACTCACTCCGCTCAGAGATCCACTGGTTGACGATCACACGTTGATCTGATTGGTTACAAGGTCGTTTGTGACGTCAGAAACACCAGCGATTTCAAACCGTGTTTTTGAGACTGTCTTTGGTTCACTGCAGTTTTAAGCAGAAAATACTCAGCAATGCTGTCGACTTATGAACTTACACATGGTGTGTCTTAAAGCGTATTAAAAACACCACATAGACACATAAACAACATTAAAAACTGGATTTAACACGGGGACTTTAAAACACTAAAGACCAAAAGTTCGGAATAATGCATTTATTTGATCAGAAATAATGTAAAAACAGTGAAAACAGCTGTTTTCTATGTGAAGAATCCTGAAAAATAGTGTATCATGGTTTCCATAAAAATATTAATCATAAATGTTTCTTGAGCATCAGATCATCATATTAGAGTGATTTCTGGAGGATCATGTGACACTGAAGACTGGAGTAATGATGCTGAAAATTCAGCTTTGATCACAGGAATAAATTACACTTTACTAGATATTCACATAGAAAACTGTTATTTTACATTGGAATAATATTTTTGATCAAATGATTATCCCAAACATTTGTCCGGTAGTGAAGTTACCAGCTCATTACGCATCTCTTTTGTCCGTCTCCAGGTTCAAGCCAGTGCAGAAGATGGACAGTGTTTCGGGGGAGAGTTTCTCCAGCGGGGGGCAACACACACCCAGCGCCGCGGAGCAAACCTTCATCGCTCAGAGCCAACACCATCAGCAGTTCCTGGGTAAACCACACACACACACACACACCTAGAGCAGCTCAAATCATGCTTTAGAGGAGCTGATCTGGGGTGTGTTCTCTGTACACCGGCGTAACTCGCTGATTAGCTATCACTGTACGATCAATGCGTATAGCTAATCACGACTGTTTCCCGAAACCATATTGTCGCAAATTGGTCATTCAACCACGTTAGTTAATGATGTCACGCAGGAGTAATAAGTAGAGGTCGGCCGATTCATCGGTTTTGCCGATATATCGGTACCGATTAGGCATGTACCGATACCGATACCAGCACTCGGGTCGGTCCGATACTGTGCTCGTGTACTCGTAAAACTACCCCGATGCAACCGCAGCCGAGTCCACTTTAAATGGCCGTTCATATAACGCGTGGAGAGCGCGGCCGCACCGTTTCCGTAAAATGTTTCTCCTTTCCACAAGCGCTTGCGCTCCCGTGGCGTCTGCCGTCGCTATGCAACCATGAACACAGGCGCGCCTGGAAAAACGAGCCGCCGCACCGCATGCGTCGCTTCTATTATGAGCAGGCTTGCCGCGCGCCTACGTTTGAAATAACGAATTTGCACGCGCAAAAAAACAGCAATGGCCCCTTATGGCACCCTGACATCAGCCTAACCTCTCGCCAGTGGAGCAGGGAGTCGGAGGAGGAGTCATGTCAGCCGGTTGGAGATATTTTAAGATAAGCGATGATGATCAAAGTAGAGCAGACTGCAAACTATGCTCTGCTAAATTGTCAAGAGGAGGGGTGAGATATAGCTTTATACAAGTTGCATAGGCCTATTTACTGTCACAGTCAGAAAGTGAAAAACATCTGATGAAAATAAAACATTGTTAGAAGAACTGTTATGGTATTATCAAGTACTCATATTGGTACATCGGCAAGTACCCAAGTGTAAGTACTTGGTCTGAAAAAAAGTGGTATCGGTGCATCCCTAGTACCGATAGCTGATTGGTGGAACTATAGTTATCGGCAAAAATCCACACTGATGGTTTTTCCGGGTTGCGTCCGTTGCTGGAGCGGCTGAGAAGAGTGTGAGCGCATTATAGAGCGAGAGCGCCCCCTAGAGGACAAACAACTAACTATCACTGGCTGAGTTTACCTTCACACACAAGGCTGCACAGAGATCACACACTATACGGAGAGCGCTGACACTTCAGATGCGCATCTACAACACCGACAGCGAAACGGTATAAACAGAACACTACAGGCCATGTTGCCATATCATTATAAAGTAATTAGTTGACTAGATGCTGCATTAGCAGAGAAACAACAGCAGTGTGTTTCCGTCGAGGCTGAGAGGACTCTAACATTAGTACCTCGAGCGGTTAAAACAATGGGACAAAAACACACGCAAACCTCACCCATGTTTAATGTCGCAGTAGTTAGCATCTGTTTTTTTTTTTTTTTTTTTTTTTTATTTAATAAGAAACAAAATTTACAGACCAAAATCCACTGAAACTCTACATGCTTATACATTCATCCTCACATTCATACCCCAAACATACACGAGAAAAAATAATAATAAAAAATTATATATATATATATATATATATATATATACATACACACACATATATACACTTCCCCCTTTTCTTCCCCTTTAACACTTTACAAAATATATTACAACAGAAGAATAAACATGATATGAAAAAGATAGGAAAAACCACAAGATTTCATATAGTTATAATACACATATAATATTATTCCATTTTTTATTATATTCATCCAATTTATTTTTGCTTTCTGCTATTATCTTTTCTAAAAGAAGATGAGAACTTATAACATTCTTAAAGTGACCTAAACACAAGCTTGAAGATGTTTTTGTTTTAAAAATAAACATTTTCCCTATTACTAAAATGGTATTTAACACAAGAAAACTTCCTGTAAAATGACCAAGTACAATAGTTTGTGGTGTTATGATAAGTTCTATTCTTGCCGTCTTTAACCAAACTTGGACCCTTGACCAGAATTTATATACAAATGGACAAAAGTAAAATAAATGCCATAGATCTTCCTCTTCTTCCTCACAAAATCTGCAATGTGGGTTATTTTCAATATGATATAAATATAACATTTTTTTAGTTGCAATTATCTTTCAATTGGAATATTCTTGAATATGAATCTACAGAAGTGTTATAAATTGATCTAAAATATTCTTTCCATGGAATTGGTGCATTAATTTCATCTTCCCAGTATTGGCAGACCCTGTGAGGAAAAAGTGCAAATCCTGCAGAATATAACTTCCAATTATAAATTATTTTATTTATCTTTATATTATGTAACCCTTTTTGACATCGTACTTTTGGGAGACAAACCAATTGCTTGTGTTTATTTTGTATTTTTTGTTTCCAGCCAATTGGAATTGCTGAAACAATCTGATTGAATCGATACAAATCCAAACATTCATTAAATTGTATTGAAAAATCATAAAATGAAATAAAGTGACCAGATGTATCTAAGAAGTCATTCACAAAAATTAAACCGTTTTGAATACATATATTCCACAAAAGTGGTTGGTCTCCTATAGTAATTTCAGAGTTCATCCACAGTAACTGATTCTGCAATGGTTTTAATTGAAAAAAAAAGAAAAAATCCGAGCCAAAAAAATAAAAGGATGTATACAATCTTTTACTGGTAGCATCTGTTTGCATTAGTTTATATCCGGCTGGTCACTTTATGCATCCATTAGCCGGAGAAGTTGCGCATTTAAAGCTAGTGACGTGATTGTGTTCTCAACGTTGATGTGTTCATGCAGCCGACAGAAATCAGAAACGCATTTGATTATCACTAAAGCAATACATACTGCTATTTTGATTAGATAATCATCAAGTGTTCTAATATAGAAGCAAATAAAGGGAGAGACTGTACATGTAATATACATGTATGTAACTTTAATGCTCTGGCCTTTGCATATATTTAAAGACGGCCATCTTTAAGCATAGCAGACTCTTTGGCTTTATATGAAATGGAAACACTTTACAATAAGATTACATTTTTAACATTAACTACGGTTAATAAATGTTGTAGTATTGGTCATTTGTTGATTTCAACATTTACTAATGCATTTTAAATTGAGTTCATTTTTATTTTATCTGTTAAGCTTAGTGTATTATGAACTAACATGAATGATCAAGGTACAAATGTCTGTATCAAATATTAATACATGCTGTAAAAAAAAAAGTATATTGCATAATGCATATACTAGTTCATGAAAGCTAGCTAATACATCCTTGTTAACAAATGGGACTTGCAAAGTGTTACCTATGAAATCTGCGTATGTTTCTAGATTATAGCTAAAGAGACCTGCTGTAATACTTTAATGTTTAAATAATTTTCTGTAGAACTTCATTTTAATATATTAATATTTATATATTTATTTTATATACCACATTTCAGTTCAGCACTGTTTTACTTGGAGTGTTATGTTTTTTTTTTATATCCAGTATCCACATTTTAAAAACATCGGTTGAATAATCGGTTATCGGCATGTACGGTCAAACCTAAATATCGGTATCGGTAAAATCCACTATCGGTCGAACTCTAGTAATAACTACTTTTAATGAAACTGTTTGAGATGGAATTAATGCTAGATGTTCTGCTATTAATTACAGACATGCATCTGAGGAATATTTCTCATTTTTCTCAGTTATTTCACTTTATTTCCAGATTCACTCATAAACTCGTTCACACACACTAGAGCTCGTTCACACATGCGCACTCTTCAGAAACTACACTTTAAATCTCTTGACAAACTCAAAGACGTAAATTACATTAGTATGTATTCTAAATATAAGACACAGGTTGCACTGAATGTGAGCTTGATTATTTTGCTCAAGATCAGGATTTATTGAGTCCACATGTCATGCAATCTAGAAACTGCTTCTAAAGAGATCTAGATCTGTCGTTCCGAACGCAAGCGAATGTTCGTTGTAACGATGGTTTCGGGAAACACCGACTCGTTGAACTGCTGATAACGACAGCACTTGCGACTCTAGTTGGCTAACGCTGCTTCCGGGAAACACACCCCTGAATGTCCCTGTATGATGTCCCTGTTAGACGGGTCCAGAGCTCTGCCAGAGTTTGTTGAGCTGGACCTCGGAGAGCCTGTGGAAGACGTCGGCCTGGAGGACGTTAAAGCCCTTCAGACGCTGTACAGGGAACACTGCGAGGTCAGTCCATCAGCGCTCACGTTACAAACCGCATTACACTGCAAAACATGCTTTTCTTACTCAGTATTTTTGTCTTGTTTCCAGTCCAAATATCTAAAAATTCTTGAATCAGGATGCATTTACTAGATGAGTAAAATGACATGAGATATGTCTTTTCTGGGGAGAGAAATCGAAATTGAGTTGTTGGTTAAAAAAAGCTAAATTTTTTAATAGATGCACTTTTATGATGGACAGATGCACTTTTATGATGGATAGATGCACTTTTATCATGGATAGATGCACTTTTATGATGGACAGATGCACTTTTATGATGGATAGATGCACTTTTATGATGGATAGATGCACTTTTATGATGGACAGATGCACTTTTATGATGGACAGATGCACTTTTATGATGGATAGATGCACTTTTATGATGGATAGATGCACTTTTATGATGGATAGATGCACTTTTATGATGGATAGATGCACTTTTATCATGGATAGATGCACTTTTATGATGGATAGATGCACTTTTATCATGGATAGATGCACTTTTATGATGGATAGATGCACTTTTATGATGGATAGATGCACTTTTATCATGGATAGATGCACTTTTATCATGGATAGATGGACTTTTATCATGGATAGATGCACTTTTATGATGGACAGATGCACTTTTATGATGGATAGATGCACTTTTATCATGGATAGATGCACTTTTATCATGGATAGATGGACTTTTATCATGGATAGATGCACTTTTATCATGGATAGATGCACTTTTATGATGGATAGATGCACTTTTATGATGGATAGATGCACTTTTATGATGGATAGATGCACTTTTATGATGGATAGATGCACTTTTATGATGGATAGATGCACTTTTATCATGGATAGATGCACTTTTATCATGGATAGATGCACTTTTATGGACTTAAAAACAGATTGTATTCGCCTGAAAGAAGAATGCCAAATACACCTAGGTTGACTTGAGGGTTGGGCTAATTTTCATTTTTGGATGAACTATCCCTTTAAGTCTTGTTGAATTACAGTTTAAAGGTGATGTGATCATTTTCACACGCAGGCCATTTTGGACGTAGTGGTGAACCTTCAGTTCAATCTAATCGAGAACTTGTGGCAGACTTTCTGGCGCTACTCTCCCTCCAACACCGTAGAGGGCATCACCATCACAGAAAACAGGTATGTGACCCCGATCACCTCTTCAGTGCCAGCTCAGGCGATTAAACACGATTCCTGAGATGTGACTGTTGTTAACGCAGTGGTGTGAGTGAGATCGAGGGCCGTCTGCCGAGCGACACACTGATCCTGCTCTGCCGGAACGATGATGTGCTGAAGTGGATGAACACATGTGATCACCTGATGTATCAGGCCCTCGTCGAGATCCTCATCCCAGACGTTCTGAGACCCATTCCTAGTGAGTCTTTCATTGAACCAATTCATTAACATGCGTATTACACTGCAAACAATATTTTTGTCTTGTTTCCAGTCCAAATATCTAAAAAATTCTTAAATTAAGATGCATTTATTAGATGAGTAAAATGCCATGAGATATTATGTCTTGTTTTCTAGGAAAATAAATCAAAATTAAGTGAGTTGTTGCTTAAAAAAAGCTAAATTATCTACCAATGGGGTATGAAAATAATCTTGTTTCTGTTTGAATTAAGATTATTTTTCTTACCCCATTGGCTGATCATTTTGCTTTTTTTTTTAAGCTACAACTCTTAATTTTGATTTATTTTACCAGAAAAGACATAATAACTTATGGCATTTTACTACTTTAGTAAATGCATCTTGATTTAAGAATTGTTTGATATTTGTGAAAACAAGAAAAAAATACTAAGAAAGAAAAGCCAGCTTTATAGAAAAATTATGTTTATAATATCTTTGTCTTAGTCACATTTATCAGATAAGAGCTGGACGACACTATAGTTACATTTCGCGACGCTATAAACGATCACGCAGCTGAGATTTGCTATATAGTGTACATCGTTTTACATGAGTATATTGTATGCATTTTATTACTAAAGTTAATTATGTGGTGATATTGAGAATTATGAAGCCCGAGGTTTATTAATTGACATTTGGGTATTGGAATCACTGACACAGGTGATGCATATAAATTAATTTCAATTGTATCGCCCATTAATGACTCATCTCACGAGATTGGGTCCACGAGAACAGGCGAGATTTTTGCACAATATTTTAATGACAAAATTCATGACTGGAAAAATATTCTGCAGGTGCATTTTTAAATGTTTTAACTAATAATCTTGTAATGAATGTCATTTCAGTTCTACTTTGAGTATGAATGATCAAATGCATTGAAAGACAACAATATAAAAGCACTGTGAAATGTTTTGCCACAAACTCAACAGATTTTCTCCTGTGTGATTTGTACACGCGTCTCTTCAGACCGCACTGTACATGAATTATGAGCTTCCAGAACTTCTGATTGAGGCTGTGTGACCTCATAGTTTAACTCCTTTCCACAAATTGAATATAGACAGTTTAACAGTATAAATAAAAATAAATACGTTTTTTCTTAGTCTTATTAAGTGCAAACAATACATGAAGTGCAACCATAATCAAAGTACTCTCTCAATATTCAAAGTGCAGAGCCACAACTACACAGTGTTTGTGTTCGCGATCGCACGTACTCATTCTAGAAGACATTTATCAGACGCTGTGTTACACACCGAATCCTCCGCTATCGCTACGCGATCAGTGAACCGTGTGCGACTGCAACTCGTGCTGGATGAGTAGAGCAGACGTTTACAATGGATTTTATTTTTAAAGAAACAGCAGAAAGACAGTAGAGGTGGTGGGCATCATAGTGTACTGTGAATGTAGCGGTGGCATATTCCAGGCTAATCTCACCCTCGCGCTCCGTCAATGCGAGACAGTCACATTGGAGTCTTGCGAGATCCCGTCTCACCCCTACTAAGCAGTTGCTTTCTTCTTATATAAGTCTCTATCTGCATTGCACAGGTGCCTTGACTCAAGCCATCCGTAATTTTGCCAAAAGCCTTGAGGGCTGGCTCACCAACGCCATGAGCAGCATTCCCCAGAGGATGATCCAGACCAAGGTAAGAGCATAGGCCGTTACAGCGGTTTCAGCTAAAGCGAGTGATTATGAATGTGGAAACCCCAGTGCCTGATGCCTGCTCCAGACTACACCATTTATCTGTCCGTTACGATAGTCACTGTGTCAGATTACACCATTTTGACTCCTAAAATCTTGTTGTCGTGGACAAGAAATATGTCAGACTACACACTGCTTCCTGACCAGTCATCGTGTGCTGTCTTTACATACACTCACACACATACATACACACTCACAAAGTCAAAGTTTTTTTTGCCATTTGTAAGGCACAAAAGAATTTGTACACATACATAGGAATTGTACTGCAAATTGTACTAAATCACCCTTAGAGTCAAGAAAGTGCAGTGCACCTGTGCTTACTAGCCATTTATACTAAATATCCCCTATTTATGTGAATTTGCCATTAGTCTCATTGCTGCTGGATAAAAGCTGTTATAAAAACGTGTTCTGTGTGTGATGATACTGTCCGCTCTTATATCAGGGTGTCCGCGGGGTTTTAAAAAGTATTAAAAAGTGATAAATCAAAATTGTCAAATTTAAGGCCATTAAAAGTGTTAAATGTGGTCTCAGAGGTATTATTTTTTCCAAGTTAGGTATTATTTTGTCAGACTATCAGGTGTCCAGGGCACCGTGCCGGATCTCCGGGGTTCGGCCGTGAGGACAAAAAGAAAAAGGGGAACTTGCATGCGGTTTAATATTTTCGAGTCAATTGATTTCACCTACCAATCATATGAGAGGAACGCAGCTCTAACTAACGTTACAAGCCTATCAGAAGCAGAGCAGGGCGGGTCCTGGCAACACACAGTGTGATTGAGATCCATACGTCACATTAGCGTCGTCGGTGAAAGCATGGAGCGCAAGTTCATGAAGCCCGGGGATGATGTCCTACCCACGGGCGTAATTTCCTATGCGGACAAGGGGGACACTTTCGTTTGTTATGATTTTTAACCGCACACCGTCATTGCCACGGAGGAGCAGGACCGAGCCTGTGTAAAATAGCTCACTGAAAGTTCTAATGCGCGAGGATAGCGGTTGCGACCATAAAAAAAAATAGATTGCGACTAGAGCCCGACCGATATGGATTTTTGGGGGCCGATGCCGATACCGATATTAGGGAGTAAAAAAAGTCCGATACCGATATATCGGCCGATATTATTTATGTGTATATTATAATACAGTAGCAATATTATTTATGTGTATTATAGTACAGTATACCAGTCAAAAGTTTGGACACTTTCCTATTGGTGTGTACAAACTTTTGATGGGTACTTTACACAGTAGCTATAAACAGAATAAATATATTTTATAAACACGTTTTGCAATGATCACTCAAATGTGGTAATCAAACACTTGTGTGACACAGATATGTAATGGAGGCAGGGGGAATGATAGAATGAGAATTATACAGCTGAGCTGTAACCAAACTAGTTTGCATTGCATGTTATATTATATTATATTCTAAATACTGTTGCATAATCTTCACTAATGACTTTGTCTTTTAATTTAGTCATAACTTGTATCAATAAATATATAAAAAGTGTCACTGACAAAACCTTATTATCTTCTATTTTTACTCTTAATTCCTCTAATCTCTACCAGTGGAGGAAGAACTCAGATCTTTTTACTAAAGTAAAATTAATAATATCATAATGAAAACGTTTTTAATTACATATGTACAGTACTTTTATACTATTTTAAATAATTAGTAAGCAAAATGTACTAAACGTGAAACTAGGCTACTCTTAATGCAAAATGGCCCTATATAAAGTGTTATAATTATATACATTTTTGGAATATTGCTTGATGTTGTAACGTAGCGTTATCAGGCAGAATGAGCTTTAACACTGTGTCTACACCGGACGCGGCCGTTACTGCTCGCGGCGCAACAGCTGTTTACCCGAGACAAAGCAGAATCAGTTTACTGTCGGAGATCGCTCGCGCCACGCATTTTAATCAATGTTTCATCAACCAATTGCCTTAATAAATAAGAAGTAGGCCTAAATATAGCAGACAATATAATCAGGACTTCTCAGCTGCGCGCTTTGCAATAGTCACAAGCTCACACAATACGTGACAGAGGCTTGTAGCAGAGAAATCAATTCTGTGAATTACACTGCGCAAATCACAAGTAGGCTACTACCCACCGGATGAAGAAGGGTTGGCTCTCAGTCTCCACAGGCTACATAAAATATTCATTTTATTTTATTTTATTTTTCGTGTTCGCATTTATGAGGAAAAAACAATGTTACAGACGCGACAGTTCAGCACTACGGACGAGAGCGCTCTGAAAGCGGCACTAATGCTTTGAAACTTTCACATAGACATCAAACAGAAAGCACAAAACCTTTCGTTTCAAAGTGAATTTCGTTTTGTATTAATTGTATCTTAATTTTAATCAATGTTTTATCAGCCATTTGCCTGGATTTAATTTATAAGAAGTAAATTTAGCAGACGATAGATAATCTCGACACGGAGGCGCCTGCGGGTGAACTGGAGCTCGTCTCATGAACCGAAACTCAGCGTATAGACCTGAGAATTGAAATATATCTATATTGAAATGTCTACTTTTAAACAGAACAACTTCAAAACGAAAGACAGACAGACTCATGTAATCGTATGAAATGTGCATTTCTCTCTGGCACGCGTTCACTGAAGATCGCGAGTCAGCATCGTCAACTTCATCTTTGGCTGACACTGACTGAAAACACTTGTTTATTAATAAACAATTAAAATGTGTCCTTGCTATTTGTTGTATTCATAATCATTACTTTTGCCAGTTCTTGTGACAGCTTTTAGGTGCTTTATTGGCAGCGCCACCCTTACATGAATCAGCGCACCCGCATTTTTTTAAATATTCATTTATCGGCCATTATAAATGCCGATACCGATAGTAAGGAAAATGCCTAAAATCGGCCGATAATATCGGCCCGCCGATATATCGGTCGGGCTCTAATTGCGACACAGTCAGTGATACAACGCCAGAAACAACAACAGGTGACGAATGTCATCATGGATGAAATGAAAGAAAGGAGATGTGAGTTGGTTGATTCAGGAAATTAGCCCAGGTCAGGATAATTTCAGACTGTTAGCTAAATATTTAATGTAGAACATTACTGTGTAACGTTAGCTACTAAAAAAACATTCGGTGTAACGTTAGGCCTACGTTACCATGAAAACGAGTCCACTTCAAACCGCAATATTTTCTGTCAGCAATGTATGATAAGTGCTGACAGCAACGTTAACTCATGCGATTCATTTTTGTCCAGCTTTGCAATTAACGCAGCAATGCATCCGTTCTTTCTGTCATCCTTTAGCTAGGATTATGATCACGCTCTTATTCACGCAAATGCTTTAGTGCGCGACAGTGACAATACGCACTGTCAGTGAATGTCCTCCTGACACACGACGCACAGAAAGACGCGCGCCAGTATCGAGTTCTCTTTCGCGCTTGAACGAACAATAACACACACACATTTAAGCCAAAATGTCCGTTTTGTCGAGTATCCTCACAAGAACCGTGCTAAATGAGTTAAATAAAATCTTAAATGGAAGTAAATAGTAGTGAGAATAAGATGCGTGAGATCCTGTCCGCAGCGGCAGATCTTAAAGTGACAGGAGCCATTAATTCTGTCTTTCAGTAAAGTTAACCTAAAGAACAGAGAAAATTACTCACTGCTCTTGACTAAAGAACGCTTGTAGCTTTGATAAGGATTAATCTATATTTCATTTATAATTTATGCAGTGCGGACTGTTTTATGACCATATTCAATTTCTGTATGGCACAGGTAAATATGACATGTATTATGGGTTTAAGAGAGGATTGTTTTAAGTTCACTTAAATTATGTTTTTATATTTTTGAAGCCTAATAAATGTTTAAAATTTGGGGGGAAATCATTTTCATCGAGACATCAGTAGCTATAATATTAGTAATACTGACATCAGTCTCTAAATCTATTCTTTTTTGTATGTTATATATGTCAAAATCTGTGTAAATAATAGAAAGGTCGCTGATTAACACTTGCAAATCAGTGTCGTGATGGGTTTTTTTAAAAATTCCGAAGGTAGTAAAAAAGGTATTAAAAAGTAGTAAATTTAACTTAAGGATTGCTGTATATACTAGAGGGCTGCATTGGGATTGACCCAACGCAAAGCTCGCGGGAGCGGGCGGTTTGAACTTTGCTGCGGGCGGGAATGGGCGGACAAATAAAACCCCTGCGGGATTGGGAGGTAGCCTAACGACATGATGGAGATGTCAATGATCTGGAAAAGAACCTTAAACGAGGTATTTACAGTACAAAACCTGAGCAAGGCAAGTCTGACATTTACTATTCATCTTCCTGATCAGTGCGTCAGAATACATGCAGGCCAGGGAAACGAAACCAACAACCCCATGAATCTCTTTAACAATAGCAGTACAAATACGAGTTTTTTTCCTGCAGGACGGGAGAAGACACAAAGTCAGTGCATCTCTATTATTGTGCGGGAATAAATTCTCCGAGTTTTGCGGGTGCGGGCGGGAGTGGACATACATATTGCGGGTGCGGGCGGGAGTGGACATACATATTGCGGGTGCGGGCGGGAGTGGACATACATATTGCGGGAGCGGACATACATATTGCGGGAGCGGACATACATATTGCGGGAGTGGACATACATATTGCGGGAGCGGACATACATATTGCGGGAGCGGACATACATATTGCGGGAGTGGACATACATATTGCGGGAGCGGACATACATATTGCGGGAGCGGACATACATATTGCGGGAGTGGACATACATATTGCGGGAGCGGACATACATATTGCGGGAGCGGACATACATATTGCGGGAGCGGACATACATATTGCGGGAGTGGACATACATATTGCGGGAGTGGACATACATATTGCGGGAGCGGGCGGGAGTGGACATACATATTGCGGGAGCGGACATACATATTGCGGGAGCGGACATACATATTGCGGGAGTGGACATACATATTGCGGGAGTGGACATACATATTGCGGGAGCGGACATACATATTGCGGGAGTGGACATACATATTGCGGGAGCGGACATACATATTGCGGGAGCGGACATACATATTGCGGGAGTGGACATACATATTGCGGGAGCGGACATACATATTGCGGGAGCGGACATACATATTGCGGGAGTGGACATACATATTGCGGGAGCGGACATACATATTGCGGGAGTGGACATACATATTGCGGGAGTGGACATACATATTGCGGGAGTGGACATACATATTGCGGGAGCGGACATACATATTGCGGGAGCGGACATACATATTGCGGGAGTGGACATACATATTGCGGGAGCGGACATACATATTGCGGGAGCGGACATACATATTGCGGGAGTGGACATACATATTGCGGGAGCGGACATACATATTGCGGGAGCGGACATACATATTGCGGGAGCGGACATACATATTGCGGGAGTGGACATACATATTGCGGGAGTGGACATACATATTGCGGGAGCGGGCGGGAGTGGACATACATATTGCGGGAGCGGACATACATATTGCGGGAGCGGACATACATATTGCGGGAGTGGACATACATATTGCGGGAGTGGACATACATATTGCGGGAGCGGGCGGGAGTGGACATACATATTGCGGGAGCGGACATACATATTGCGGGAGCGGACATACATATTGCGGGAGTGGACATACATATTGCGGGAGCGGACATACATATTGCGGGAGCGGACATACATATTGCGGGAGCGGACATACATATTGCGGGAGCGGACATACATATTGCGGGAGTGGACATACATATTGCGGGAGCGGACATACATATTGCGGGAGCGGACATACATATTGCGGGAGCGGACATACATATTGCGGGAGCGGACATACATATTGCGGGAGCGGACATACATATTGCGGGAGCGGGCGGGAGTGGACATACATATTGCGGGAGCGGGCGGGAGTGGACATACATATTGCGGGAGCGGGCGGGAGTGGACATACATATTGCGGGAGCGGGCGGGAGTGGACATACATATTGCGGGAGCGGGCGGGAGTGGACATACATATTGCGGGAGCGGGCGGGAGTGGACATACATATTGCGGGAGCGGGCGGGAGTGGACATACATATTGCGGGAGCGGACATACATATTGCGGGAGCGGGCGGGAGTGGACATACATATTGCGGGAGCGGACATACATATTGCGGGAGCGGGCGGGAGTGGACATACATATTGCGGGAGCAGACATACATATTGCGGGAGCGGACATACATATTGCGGGAGCGGGCGGGAGTGGACATACATATTGCGGGAGCGGACATACATATTGCGGGAGCGGGCGGGAGTGGACATACATATTGCGGGAGCGGACATACATATTGCGGGAGCGGGCGGGAGTGTAACACATACGTTGCGGGAGCGGGCGGGAGTGGACATACATATTGCGGGAGCGGACATGCATATTGCGGGAGCGGGCGGGAGTGTAACACATACGTTGCGGGTGCGGGCGGGAGTGGACATGCATATTGCGGGAGCGGGCGGGAGTGTAACACATACGTTGCGGGAGCGGGCGGGAGTGTAACACATACGTTGCGGGAGCGGGCGGGAGTGTAACACATACGTTGCGGGAGCGGGCGGGAGTGTAACACATACGTTGCGGGTGCGGGCGGGAGTGGACATGCATATTGCGGGAGCAGGCGGGAGTGTAACACATACGTTGCGGGTGCGGGCGGGAGTGGACATGCATATTGCGGGAGCGGGCGGGAGTGTAACACATACGTTGCGGGAGCGGGCGGTAATGGTCAAAAATTCGGCGGGCGCGGGCGGGAGCGGGATGAAGAAAACAGTCCGGCGCAGGACTCTAGTATATACCCTGTATATGTCTCAGGCTATAGGATTTGTATCACACATACATACACACACACTCACACACATTCACACTCACACACATGCATACACACTCACACACACATTCACTCACTCACACACATACGCACGCACACATTCACTCGCACACATAAGTTATACACACGCACATATTCACACATACTCTCGCTCACGCACTCAAACGCACACACACTCACTTTTGACGGAACCAGATCAGGAAAAAAAATTAAACATGCTAGTCTTTTAATGGTGATGTCATGATGCATCGCAGACGCGGCGTCGGTTGTCACCCACTGAGACACACTGTAGGATCTTGCGTCCGGACGCCCGTTGTCGTTTACGAATCCCCACGACACTCTACGTCAAACGGATCGTGCCAAATTTGGGCTAAAATGGTGTAATCTGAACCAGGCATAAGAGTCTTAGAGGTCTGCTACCCGACCCGACGGGTCCCCTTAGAACTCACGGGTTTCGGGTCGGGTTTGGGTTAATGTTTAATGAATAGCCTCGGGTTCGGGTTTGTAACTAAGAAAAACTATATAGGCTATATATATAAATATATATGTATTTATAGTTTGCGTGCCGTGTGCTTGCTGTATTGTGATCGTAAATAAGAGCACGCGAGAGAGAAGGTGCTCTGATTGCAGTGTTGTGACTGAAATAATGCGCGCGGGAGCACATGTGCAAAACAGTTTTGTAAAATGATAAAATAAAAATTATGTATATATCCTTTTACAAAACTGTTTTGCGCATGTGTTCCCGCGCGCAGTATTTCAGTCAGAACACCGCAATCAGAGGAGGGAGCTGATATAGCTCATCCGCTGTTCTCTTCCTTCATAACTCGTACGGAGAAGGATATATCTGTGTAAATAGTTGTGCATCTGCGCAAACTTTGTTTTGAAGTTTAATGTTTGAGTTCCAGAGGAATTTGTGACTGTTTCACCTGTTCACCCACATCAGTTTCGTAATTAGTAAGTCAGTGATTTTCGCATTTTTTTTGTTGTGTGCTGAGGGACGGTGCCTTAGTGAAACGGTGTTTGAACATGTTTAGTTATCATTGCAAGCAAAGCAATCAAAGTACAGCATATTGCAAAAAAAAAAAAGATTTACTGTGAGAAACGGACCTCGGGTTCGGGCTTAAAATATAACTGTAATGGTGAAATATAAATATATAACTTGAAAAAATATAACTTAAATGATTTCGGGTTCGGGCTTCAGTGTAAAGCCCGTGCGGAGCTCTAAAGAGTGTGTCTCGTCTTGCGCAGGTTTCTGCTGTTAGTGCCTTCGCTCAGACCCTGCGCAGATACACGTCTCTGAACCATCTGGCACAGGCAGCGCGTGCCGTCCTGCAAAACACCTCACAGATCAACCAGATGCTCAGCGACCTCAACCGCGTGGACTTCGCCAACGTGCAGGTACGTCACATGATCCACGACCTCCGCCCTTAAAGAGATCCATCAACCAAAAATGGGCCATTTACTCGCCCTCATGTCACTCGCCCCAGGAGGAGGGGCTTCATAGAGACAGGAAGTAAACAGAGCGTTACTGACAGACTGGGAAGAGAGGAGCCGCAACAATGGAGAATATGAGGAAAATAATCAACATTCAAGCAGGAAAAGTAAAAACAAACAAAATATGGCATCTTTAACCCCTTAACTGTCACTTGCTAGACGGTTGCTTTTTTTGTATCACATATTTTAATAATCATCATAAATTAGGTATTATTCGAAAGCTTACAAACTCAAAATTCATCCTGTGAAAACCATTTTGAAATTGGACATTGCGTTACCATGGAAAACAGTACTTTAAATTCTTTAAGCTGGCTCCTCCCCAAGTGGGCGTCGTCAGGTTTCATATTACAACATTTATTTTAACTACTTTCAGGGTTTCTGCAGGTTTCACAAAGTCAAATTTAAGACTTTTCAGACCTTTTTAAGACCATTATGAATTAAATTTAGACCTATATCACGACATAAAAAAAAAACGTACAAAGGAAACACAGAGTATCAAAATTACTTGCAAAGTAAATTAATTTATTCAAACTGAACAGTACTGAAGACAGCTTAGATGGATGCACAAAGCTGATTGGCTGTTGCATGTTGGTCTATTTTGTAGTCGTAATTAAAGTGAATTATATTTGGACTAGCGAAATAAGGAACTATAATACCACGCAAAACAAAACAAAAAAACATTCCAAAGCGCAGCGCTTAATTTTCTTAAATTAAGACCTGTTAAAAATTATTTAAGACTTAGAACACAATACTTCAGCAAATTTAAGACTTTTTAAGGCCTTAAATTGTGATTTTGAAATTTTAGACTTTAAGACCCTCGGAAACCCTGTACTTAATAATCGAAACCATTTTTTTTTTTTAAATCTTGACAAAACACATGTCGGTCTTGAGTCTCGAGGTTCCATATTGGGTGATAGAGGGGATATTTGGACAGAAACGTATTAATTAGTTATATAGAAATGTATTAAAATAATTCAATGTAATGTTGGTTACACCCGGTGGCTATTTTTGGTACAGCTTTAAGGAACTTTAATTTTTGTGATAATTTCAAATTTGGAACACAACTTGGTTAGATATATGGCTTTGACTTTATAGTATTGTTGATTTTTTTTTTTTTTTTACAGTACATTTGATTTACAGTAAATCTAAACTTTCATACTTTCATTTTTTGAAGTGCTTTCACTTCAGTCAATAATGTGCATGTAAATGTAGTGGTGAGCAGCTCCAGTGTTGTGATGTTGTGCCTGTGCTGGTGTGTGCAGGAGCAGGCCTCGTGGGTGTGCCAGTGTGAGGAGGGTGTAGTTCAGCGCCTCGAGCTGGACTTCAAGGCCACCCTTCAGCAGCAGAGCTCACTGGAGCAATGGGCTGCGTGGCTGGATAACGTGGTCACCGAAGTCCTCAAGCCGTTCGAGGACAAACCCTCCCTCCCCAAAGCGGCTCGCCAGTTCCTGCTCAAGTGGTCCTTCTACAGGCAAGACCGCTTCAATGCTTGCTTTAATCGTGTGCGTTGAATCCATAACTAGGGCTGGGTATCGACTCAGATCTTCCAACTCGATTTCGATTCTAAATTCGATTTTCGATTCGACTCAATGAATATAGATTTAATACAAACACAGGTACATTAAAACCCAAATCTATATTTCAAATGCATACAATGAATGGAAAGGATTTTGATGCAAGTCAGAAAAATTGGACAAGTCAGAATAGTTGCATGCCTCGATCAAACAGAATTAGGTTATTTTATGTTTAACCCTTTAGGCGCCAGAGGTTTTTTCCTAAAACGTTCGATTTTGACATCTTAATTTCAAAAGGCTATATCTTAAAAGTGATAAAAGATAGAGACTTTCTGTAAATTAGAGAAATATTAAGGATGACCAAAAGTTTATGTAGGGATTACATTTTCCCATCTAATTTGCATATTATGACGTCATATGGTGGTGGCAATCTTGGATTATAGAATTTTCATGAAAAGGCACATGTTTAAATGATAAAATGCAGCACTTCTTTCCCCCCAAAATGTCCCTGACCTTCTGTATGCTATATTGCACAATACTGAATGCTCAGGTATATAGTAAGTAGTAAACAAACTGTGTAAATCATTACTAATAAATGGTAGAAACAAACCGAATGCATGTAGTGGTTGGCCTTTTGCTGTAGAGATTTTCCATTTACTAAATACAGTAGGCACTCTGATTCCATGTATGGGGCACATATATTTTATTCATATGACATACAAACACAAGTAGACAAGACCTGTTTAGTTCAAAAGCTCACTCGCACAGATCATGAGTGAGATGACACGAGCAGCGCGGCCAGACCGAGTGTGCACAGCTCAGACTGCTGTCATTGTCATCGCGACTCCTCACCCCGCCTCCACGTCGCCTCCTAACTGTCCTATGAATACTTCGACCTCGTCTAACATACCCAGTGGCATTAGATAAAGTCTCCACCACAATACTGTCGCCGCGATTGCGGAGAGGCTCTGATAACATGGCTCACTCGCACACCAGCTCCGCTTTTGATCTCACTGATTCAATGCGCTCTAACTCGAACATTTTGTATAGAAACATGACGTTTTTTTGAGTCGGGGATGAAGTATGACATGTCTGCCATCCAGTGGAGGGGAGGTCGAATGAAATTGACACCCAATTTGACAAAATCGGCCGTTTTATTCAGTGCCGCGTCTTGTCGAGTAAACTCGACCGTGGCGCCTAGAGGGTTAAGATAAAACACACATAAAATCTCACAGCATTAGCAAAGTGCCGACAGAACTTTTAACTCTCCCGCTTTATCGGACTCTTACAGCTCTATGGTCATCAGAGATCTGACCCTTCGCAGCGCTGCAAGTTTCGGCTCTTTCCACTTGATCCGACTGCTGTACGACGAGTACATGTTCTACCTAGTGGAGCACCGAGTGGCCCAGGCCACGGGAGAGACGCCCATCGGGGTGATGGGAGAGGTGACGTGTGTTTAGCTCAGCACGAGCAGTACACACCTGTGGAGTCAGTCTTTCTCTCTAATCGCCATTTCTTTGTGCCGTTGCAGTTTCAGGACCTGAACACCATGTCCCCTGCCAACATCGACAAAGGTAAGCTAGCCAGAGCGCGGACTGCAAGCTGAGGCTCATTACAGCGTTACACAACTACAAGCCAGGCTAATGGCACTGTAGACCAGTAGGAGACGATTGCTGGATGCTGGATGCCCCATTACTGTAATAACACTTTTCTGTTGGTGTCCCTCCGTCATAAGACAGTTTCTGCTATATGAACGCCACTTCTTTTTTACATTTCATCATTTAGCGGACGCTTTTATCCAAAGCGACTGAAGAATACAAGCGGCTCATCTTAGAGTCAATAAACACGAGAAGTGCTAGAAATACAAAGTTACAAAAATCGTGCAAGCTAGAACAGAGAGGGATTAAGGAATAGTGGAAGCAGAGAAGTAGTCTGGGATTTGACTGTCAGGATAGGGATCCACATTAACGCTTGTCCAGGATAAGAGGATATTTTGAAGGGGCGAGTGAGAGATTTAACTTGCCCGATCGGTATCATGATTCAAACGTCAATAGAAAAAATAACTAGGGAATCACCAAAACGCGAATGATTCATTTAGTGTAAGTGGCGATTGATAGTGAATATTAATATAATATATAATGTACTGACGGTAACAAGGTTGTGTTGTTGAGGCTCTCACAGCCTCATGAGGAGAAATGGAAACAAACGAGAGCAGTTCACACACAGAAACTCAGTTCACAACACACTGCGGTAAACATTCAAAATGTGTTTTTGTATTTATAACACACGATACAGTCACACGACCAAGAGAGCTGAATACCAGCACGACTGAAAATGTGACACTGATTTCATACGACAGTTAATATTAAGTCACTTACATTTTAGACACAATATTGATAGTTTTTGTTTTATTTTAGCAGCAAAAAATAGTTCCAAACAAAGATCACAGCAGAACCAGAATGCGTCTGAATGATTCAGCGTTTTGAACGAATCGGTTGAGTCATGATTCAATGACTCATTCATAAACAACTGCCTCATTTCTGAACGAATCAGCCGTTTGAACGAATCGTTTGAATCGTTAAGACGGTCGCCTGCCGCTCCTACTGGCGGTTTAGTTTCGCGTTTAAAAGTATCATTCATTGTATATTCAAAAAAATATTTAAAACAACCTCATAACATTATTTCATTCAGTCGTAATTTTTTTGTGTAAATAATTTAGTGTTTTAGCCCTTCAGTGTCTTATTATTCTAATTAAATTTATTGATCAAATTTAAGATTTTAAAATTTAAGATAAAGCATATTTAATAAATAAATAAAAAGCTCTTTATAAAGGTAAACATATCATACATATTCAGATTTAAATATGGCAAAGCTGATGAGAAAATTTCTCATCAACACACACACAAAAGCACCTGGACAAGCACATTGTTTACCCGGGACATTACCCGAGCACATGACAAGGCTTCATTTCGAGTCCTGGAACTTTGAATGAAAAGCTTCTTGAAAATGATTTTGTGGCTCTGAATTAAAAAATGTCGTGCCTTTTAACTGAAAAGCCTCATTGTGATGTCCGCCAGATGATGTGAGCGAGATGGACAGCGATCTGGACGAGGACATCGAGGAGTCGGACGAGCCTCTAGCGAAGCGGGAGAAAGCGGAGACTGAGGTGATTCAGGTGCTTCAGGTCGGAGCCATGGAGGACGGCACCAGCGCTGTGGTGGGAGTCGTCAATCCCAGCATGCTCAGCGCTTTACCCCCGGCCGAACACATGCTCAGCTCCACCGGGACCAGCACCATCCGCCACGTGGGAAACACATACGCCTCGGTGTGAAAGCCTGTCCGTTTCCCTCTCATCCCATCTATCGCTATCAGTCCCATAGAGACGAGCGCATTTAGGCCACGCCCACACCGGGGAACGAACCAACTGCCTCTGTCGACTCTGTATTGAGTGAAGCTGCGTCCTCGTCACTTCTGACTTATAACAAAAAACAAAACAATGTCTGAAAGCTGCTGTGTGACAGGTGTACAGCAAACAAGCTAAAACAAAAACAGGAATAAGTGTTTATAAGCTGTCGACCCCAAAAACAAGCGTTTAAAGACACAAAAGTGTATAATGGCAATTAAGACGTGATATATTACTCTGAGAACTAATGAATTGGCGACAGGATAGCTTAGCTCACAGAAATATAATATATAAAACTGACATTTGGATATTTAACTAAATATCCAACAAACAAGTATTCATTACTTCAATGAGCTCATTATATCTCTTAAAATAGTACATTGTCTGAGTTATGGGTTTCAGAAATGTACATATACAAAGTTATAACACAGTTAGCTAAAAATGTATTAATTTAAACAGTCTCCTCTGATAGCAGATCACTGTACACTGTAATATGGACATTTCCAGTAAAGCTGCTTTGAAATGATGTGTGTTGTGAAAAGCGCTGTACAAATAAATGTGAATTGAATTGAATATTTGACTTAGCAGTGACTAAATGTGTCTGCACACGTCGTGTATTTCCAGAGCACACCGAGTGTCAGGATCCCAGTTTACCCATTCGCTCCAGCCATTATACACTTTTGTGTCTTTAAACGCTTGTTTTTGGGGTCGACAGCTTATAAACACTTATTCCTGTTTTTGTTTTAGCTTGTTTGCTGTACACCTGTCACACAGCAGCTTTCAGACATTGTTTTGTTTTTGTTATAAGTCAGAAGTGACGAGGACGCAGCGTCACACAATACAGAGTCAACGGAGGCGGTCGGTTCGTTCCCCGGTGTGGCTTTCAGATCATGACGGTGTCGCTCGGTCTCTCTCCACATCTGTGTCTGCGAGACATCATGGAGAAACGCGACACAAAGGTCCCATAAACTACTAAATCAATATAAGGATTTGACGAGATGCTGATTGTAACGTTTAAAGCCCTGATGTTCATAGAAAACGTTTCACTCTAGAACTCGAATCCAAGCCAGGGAAAGGTTAATTCTGGAAAATACCATTTGCCTACTACTAGTCAATATATTTATCACTTCTCTATTACTGTACTGGTCATTGTTTACAGTTTTCTGTGTAGAACATGTGATTGGCCAAACGTGTGCTGTTGGATTAGGGAGAGTCTCGCTGTATAACTGTGCTGCTATAATCCCAGCAGGCTTAGACAAGAGCTTGCCTTCTCACCGTCTTTACTTTGCAGTCTGAGTGTGTCCTATTGCCTTCTGTTCGTAGGTTTAGTGGTTGGGTAGCTTGAAGACGAGTGTTTGTCGTTGTACATAATATGCTGCATGTGCGAAGCGTGTCGTGGGTCTGGGTTTCTTTCTCGTACCGATTGGACCAAAAAACACAAGAGTGAGAGACAACCGGCTGTCCTTCGTTGCCTCTCGTTGCAGAGCGAATGTCAGGGATTTTATGTACCTCGGGTTCATCTCTAGTGCCTTAACCCAAAACAACAGCTTTTCATTTCGTCTGAACTGGTGAAGGTTTGCACTGAAAACCAGAGAATATTCATAGTCTAGCGTAGACATCTGCCACTGGATCATGTGATCGAGTCTCGGTCACGTTCAGGATCTGTCGCTCGATTATCGCTCCCTATCCGACGTCAAGGCCCGTGTGTGTGTGTGTGTGAATTTGGCCGAGGTGTGTGTGTTATGTGTGTATCTTGTCGCCCTACCTCACAAAAAACACGAAATGTGTTTCTTCTTTGTTGACCCGTCATTTTAATTTCACATCGGTTGCCCTCCAAAAAAAAAAAAAAAATTCACAAAAAGTCATTGTATCGTGGACCAAAAGTTGGTAAATATCTATATTGGTAATATAGAAGTATATGATGATGATGATGATGATGATAAAGAGTTTATACACTGGGTCTCATTGTTTTTAAAAACATTTACGTAAAATTGTGATGATTTTACAAAACTGCTTTTGTTTCATAAACGTCCCAGCTAACGAAAATATGTTCCAGGAACATTTCGCTAATGTTCATATTAAGTTATGAAAACGTTCTTTGAAAAAAATTCTTGGTTATACAAACGTTATGGTAACGTTACTTTTGAATGTTCTCTGAACATTAGACATTAAAAACAAAACAAAAAAAAACGTTTAAGATAAAACACTTCCGAGAACAGTGCAGAAATGTTTTTGTGGTACGGAGCAGAATAAACGTTTTATTGACGTTACTGGAAGAACGTTTGTCCATAACTTGTGTTCTGAGAACGTTAGCTGGGAGAACTATGATTTTATTAGTTTATGTTTTAATCTGCATGTATAGATGGGTGGAGTTTCTTTTGGTACTAGATCTGGAGTGTTTGAGTTCTGTTTGCTGTTGGATTACTGTGAACGAGGACGCTAGCCTGCTGTGATGGCGGAGGAAGTCCACCCGTCGGCTAAACCGCTCTACTATTATGGAAAACACTGGAAACTTTTTGTAGTTGGAAAAAGCGTTATTTTCTTGATTTTATTTTCAATGACTGACTGTGCGCGCGCTATTTCAAGTACGTTTTATGCATCTTTTTTATGGAAATGTCTTAATTTTAACGTGGTTGTAACGAGGATGAAGTTTTAAAAGTGAAAACCATCCAGATTCAGTCTGACGCGTCCGAGTTTCTGATAATCGTGGTTTATATTTACGTGTGCACCTTCTGAACCAGAACGAGCAGGTTTTCCACAGATTCTTTCCGATTGTTATGGTTTTGTTTTTGTACTTGATTTGCGTTTTCCGTTGTTCCGCTCGGTCTCCGTGCCTGGACGACAGACGGCTCTTCACTATTGGATAGTTTGCTAGATGTGTTGATCACTACTCAAAGTGCTTTCTTTGGTCTTGCATGCCTTTTCTTGAGCTGCTAGAATATCACCAATCCGCTTCTCCGTTTATTTGGACGACGTGCCAGAAAGTACAGAACAGTTCGATGCGTCGACTTCAAAACCACATGCCTGTTTCTACTCAAAGTTTGCCAAAACGCAGTGAAAGATTCATACTTTCCACGTCTTGCCTGTGCTTTTCTCTTTCTCTTTCTTTTGTTGACACTAAAATTGCAACCTTACTCTGGATATCAATGCAAGCTTTTCTAGGAAAAGAAACTTGCCCTTCTTCTGATATCGACATATCAAGCCCTGAGGAGCGTGAAGGCAGCTTCACTGACTAGAGACTTCAGTGCCTTTGATTTCACCAAGACCTCCAGAACCAGTACAAGCCAACGGAGCTCGTATCCCATCATGCCACACTCACCTGAGACACATATGCACACCCCAGTTTAAAGGCACCCAAACTTGATGACATGAACAGAACTATATTGGGACTCCACTGCACTATCATCGTCATCACGAGTTTTCTTTCTCTTGTGCGTAGAGTGACACGCTTGGTTTCTATGTGGTCTTATTTTTGGGGGGCTTTTAAGTGCCATTTGACTGTTTACGTAGTGAGTCGTGGCATTGCTGTAGCGCGTTCAAATGCAAGCACAAGCATCGTGGTACTCTGAGGGAAAACTCAGAACAAAGTCCTAGATGTAAATATTGAGATAAAAATGGAAGGATATTTATTTACAGTCCCTTACTTTTAATGACAGATATGTTTGAAAGTGTAAATTGTGATCCACCCTCACCTCCCCTTCTCTCTATTGTTTTATTTGGATGATGTACCTTACATATACAGTACATATGTATTTTTTTTCTTTTTTTGTGTGTGTTGTTCCAATTTACCTCTTAGTAAATTATATCCTCTGAAATTGGTAAAAGCTTACTAATAAGTGTAGAGTGATTTGTATTGTGTATTTTACATGAAGGATAACAAAAACTGGGGAACTTTTATATTTATAAAATGATATATTAACATTTAGTGTGTCAATATGAGGAAAATATAGGAATTATCCAAGACACATGTAGTTTGTTTTTTCTGAATATTTCAGACTTGAGCTCAGGCTAGCTTATTAGTGTTGTTTTCTTAAATTTGTGGCTTGTCTTTCAATTAATAAACCTTTTTCTTGTTGAAACAAGACCTGTTGTGTTCAATTGTCACGGGATTTACTCACCCGCCTCGTGTCTCGCCGAGACCTCAATGCCGTCGTGTTTTTCTGTGTAATACAAAAGGAGAAATGTTCAAAAAAAAAAAAAAAATGTAATTAAAGGCACAATATGTAAGTTTTTTTCGCCACAAGAGGGCGCAGTTTCCGACAATAACACAGGCGTAGGTTGATGACGCAGTGATGAGCTGCATGATGGGAATTGCAGATGGATCTAATAATGTTTATGGATGAGTGCAAACATTCATGTTTTTTAACATTACAGTGGTATGAAGCAGGTCGCGATTGCTAAAGAGACAGATATCATTTACATTTACATTTAGTCATTTAGCAGACGCTTTTATCCAAAGCGACTTACAACTGAGGACTAAACCAAGCGAGTCATCGTGAAGAGGCAAAAGCAACGCAAGAAGTGCTCAAAATACAAAGTTCAGCCATAGCTCGGAGTAGCATAAGGCAGGCAAGCGAGGATTTAGAGGAAAGGATCTTTTTTTTTTTTTTTTTTTTTTTTTAAGTTAAGTGCTCCCGGAAGAGATGAGTTTTCAGTTGTCTTTTGAATGTTGTCAGGGATTCTGCATTCCGGATGAGGGTGGGGAGATCATTTCACCAGCATGGAACCGTGAATGCGAATGTTCTGGAGAGTGATTTTGTGCCCCGCTGTGATGGTACCACGAGCCGTCGCTCATTGACCGATCGTAGGCTTCTGGTAGGGATGTAGACTTGTAGTAGTGAGTGGAAGTAGGAGGGAGCTGAACCTGTGGTCAATCTGTAAGCAAGCGTCAAAGCCTTGAACTTGATGCGAGCAGCGAGTGGTAGCCAGTGCAGAGAGATGAGCAGAGGAGTGACGTGGGCCCTTTTGGGCTCGTTGAAGACCAGACGAGCTGCAGCATTCTGGATCATTT